GTCTAAACTTCACAAATATGAATTAACAGATCATAGGCAAGGGTTATTAGTATTACTAAATACATTAGGCCTAGGTCTACTTACAAATGGTACGAAGTCTGAGTGCGCGTACATATACTATGTAGATGGAGCTGGAGCTTGGAGGAGCTGGCGTAACCAAGACTTGTCAGGATGAGGCGGCCAGCCGCTACCCGAGGATACGAGTACGATGCACAGTAGAGTCTACGGTACCGGTACCATACGGTACTGTGGCCTTAATCAAATTATGACGCTGACTAGACGAGTTATGAGATCGTGCTGTTCAGCCTTTTCAGTTCATGTTTGATATGGAGTACCGCAATTTCACAGAATATATAGAGATAACCAATAATCAATCGTAGGATTGCATCGATGAATATCGACCGCTATCATCTCGCTCAAAGTAGAACAAAATCTATTGTCTCTCTGTCATCTCCGCTCCTCCTCGAAGTTGTTCATCAATAGACAACACACATTTATGTATGGAACGCGATATGTGGAGATTGTATATATTTTATAAAAGCTCCCACAACACACATTGGTCCCTCCGACCCCGGAGGGGGGGGGGGGTCATGCATGCAGCACTATTATTAAACTAACTTTTTCTATATCGAAATACAGTTCGTATTTTAATCTTTCTTAAAGTTATTTATATTCAGAATATCAGAAAATATTATAAACATATGTAGACCCTATCTCATTAATTCTAATTCGAATATTTAGTGGGCAACTTTTGCATGAGGAATATAAATTATTTCCCTTTCACACGTTAAGTTGTTTTTCATCGGGCCCCTTGTAGCTCTGCCATTGCGTAACTAAGGTTATTAAGCAAACTGGACATAGACGACTCCAGGCAAGAGGGTCACACCCTGAAAAAGAAATCTTTCTACCGAAAGGAGCACGAGGGAAAAACTTCTGACGAGTGTTAATTTACCAAAAGTAAAGGTTATGAATTAAGCCCGGAATTAAGAGGTCACATTTTCGGGTTCACTTTATCTCGGACATTTGAAAAGAGATCACCTTTTCCCCTTTTTGAATGTACTTGAGTAGTACAAGATTGGGTTTCTGAAGGACATCGCGACGGGGGAGGTTATGCCCCTAAATCTGACAGATAATATATACGATGGAAAGGCAATAGAAAATTTGGACAAGAGCACTGAAATTACAATGCGACATAAATATTATTGAATACAGATATATTAAATGAGCTTAATGATAGAAGCATAGACTTTTTTTTAAGGCTTAATGTTTTGAGGAAGTTGAATAAGTGGGTTTTGAATATGCTTTTGATAGTTTGAAATTAAAGTTACTTGCATTCAGATTATTTCTTTTAACTATGCAACTCTGCATAGCTAATGATGTCCTCTCTTTTTAATCATTTTTTAGTCTGCAACATAAAGATTATCTGGAAAATATATACGAATGTAATGGGAACGCTAATATTAAACTATCTGGTAGAAACAGGGCCCGCAAAAACGATCGAAAATTAACCCCCTTCCCACAAACACCCCATTTTTGGCAAAGTATGATTTAAATAAAAAAAGAGAGAAGAAAAAGGGAGAGAAAAAAAAGAAGGAACGAAAGGCGCTGTATCTTTAATGGTTAATTTTAATGGCAACCCTGGAAACGGAAAACCTACATTGGAACGCATATCAAAGGAATTAGTATAGGTGATAAGCGACTTCCGATTCAAAAAGATTTGTTAAAATGGTATTTCCGAGCACGGATGGGACAGAATAATAAATATCAACACATGAAATCAAACAGAAGCGGCGCTCCGAGTGGGGGAGGGGCACAGTACTCCTTCCCACTTTGTCAAAAATGCCCCTTTTTACATAGAAAAGTGCCCTTTTTACTAAAGACAAGAGCTCCTTTTTCTTTCTAATATGTGCCCGTTCCACATTCTTATAAGTGCTCCTAATTACTACCGGTGATAAGTGTCCCCTTTACTTCTAATAATTGCCCATATTCAAATCTGAAAGGTGCCCCGTTTACTTTGCCAAATGCCCCCTTTCCTTTAAGAAGTGCACCTTCCCCTTCAAATAAGCGCTCCTTTTATTTTGACACACTTCCCCTTTTTCTTTATAAGTTTCCTTTTTCATAATTGCCCCCTTTTCCCTCGACAAGTGCCCCTTTTTATCTGCAATAAATGTCCCTTTTCCATTTTCATATATAAGTGCTCCTTTTTACTTCTGCTAAAAAAAATTAACTTTGAAATGTGCTTCATTTCTTGCTAAAAAGTGGCTTACTTCATGACATGTGCCAAAAATTTAAAGCGACTAAGAGCAACTTTTTTTTCTTTTATTTCACCAGATCTCACTTGCTACGCTGACTCGCATTTATAGTTGATACAATTACGTTACTTATTGAAGGTCTTTTCAGTCTTTCATGGTTAGATTGCCTGCTGAAAATCCCATCAGAATTTCCCCTCTGTTTATAATATGTAATTTGTCGCACTGCGACCTCAAAAATCTTAAGATTTTTGCTCGCGAATGGATATTCAGACCATCACATCCAACTGCAAGTATGATGCTTAAGCAATATCTTGGACCATGTAAAGAGAGGAACAAATATTAAATTTATCCCTGATAATGTTGTCATAATGTAAAATGTTGGGTAGGCAATGTTTAAAATTTCTTATTTTTGCTTTAAATTCCCCTCTGTAAGTGCCCCTTTTTTGTAGGTGCCCCCGGGGCCCCCACTTTGGAAGACGCTCCGCTGCCCCTGGGGAATAGTGTAGATTTTATTACACTAATATTATCATCGTTTGGACATCACTATTCTAAGAAATAATAATAAAAAAGGAGTAAAAGCATTGGAAGTCAGGGAAAAAATAAAATGCATGTATGAATACCTGTTGGTTTTTGTTTTGTATTTTAGTTGTAGGCTAGTTTAATTTTTTGATTTTTGATTTTTGATTTTTGATTTTTGATTTTTGATTTTTTTTTTTTTTTTTTTGGGGGGGGGGGGGGACTTGGCCAATCCATGGATTTACCATACCTCTATCACGGTGTTTCGGCCAACTTCCCTATTCCGTGTAATACTGGACCATGTGAGCTGCTATCAGAAACATCCCCGTTTATTATATTCCAACAAAACTGTGGACCACATTTCGTCCAAACATTCGGTAAGATATTTTTATTTTTCTTCTGATCAAAAACATGTCAACGTTACAAGAACAGCAAAATTATCCATTGGGGGTGGGGGGGGGGTGGGTACAATATTAATAGTCAAATAAAACGAAACATTTGGGATGAACTTGGTCGTGGGAAAAAGAAGGGGCCGGCAAAAACAAGAACAAGAACAGATGAAGGTGAAGCTTGAAGAAGAACAATTATAATTAAATTGAAGAAAAGAAGAAGTAAGAAGAAGAGAAGGAGCCTACAGTAGGATACAGGGGCGGCCGAGCGACTTTCAAAGTGGGGGGGGGCACCCAGAAAAATGGGCACCTACAAAGGGAAATCTCAAAGCGAAAATATACATTGTTTTAGACGTTGGTATATACCCCTATATTGTGATTACATTTATCAGGGATGATTTCAATAATTGTTGCACTTTATACCACATACAAGATTGTTTATGCATCATGCTTTGCAGTTGGGTTTGGTTGTCTTAAAAGTTGTTTGCCAGCGAGTGAAGCGAGCGAGGAGAAAATTTAAGATTAGTAAAATTTAAAATGTCATCTTATAAAGAGGGGGAAAAAAAAAACCCAATCCTAATGGGGTTATCAGCACATTCTCATAACGGAAGACTGAAAAGACCTTTGATAAGTAACATGAGTATATCATGATCTATAGATGCGTGCGAGCGTAGCGAACGAGCTTAGGGGGAAATTGCTCTTAGTCGCTTGAAATTAAGCTAGGGCGCGTTTAATGATGAGAGCTGAAAAGGGGACACTTATCAGGAAATAAAAGGAGCATGTGCCAATGTACAAAGAGTAATTATCAGAGGTGAAAATGGGGGCACTTCTTACACCCTCAAAAAGAGGCTCTCTCCAAGGATGAAAAAAGTCAGTCATGAGAATAGGAAAATGGGTATTTGTCGACGGGAAAGGGGCCCCCATCAGATTTTGATAGGGGCATTTATAAGATATTAATATATATTGTTTAAAGGGAAATTATCAGAGGTGAAAAGAGGCACTTATCGCACCTGAAAAGGGGCAATGACCAGATATGAAAACGGGCACTTATGTGAATGAAAAAGGGGCACTTGTAATAAAGGAAAATGTGCATTAGTTTAAAGAAAATGGGCACCGATCAGATTTTAATGGGGCATTTATCGGAGGTGAAGGGAGCATTTATCTGAAATGAAAAAGAGTAACTGACCCTTTTCAGGTACGAGAGTCTCGTACCCGAAAAGGGTCATTTACCAGAGAAGGGGCACTTATGAGAAGGGGAAGGGGGCTCTTTTTTAATGGGGCACTTATCATTAGGAAAAGGGGCGCTTATAAAAAAGGAAAAGGGCATATGTGAAAATATAAGATGCACTTATCCCAGTTAAAAGAGGGGTAGTTACTAAAAGTGGAAGGGGCACTTCTTACAAAGGAAAAGGGGCACTTGTCAAAATAAACGTGGCACGTACATCTCAGATTTAAATAGGTCAATTATCAAAGGTGAAGGGGGCAATTATCAAAAGTGAAAAGAGGCACTTTTCGATCGTACCCAACTAGGTGCACTTACTAGCTAGAGATTAAAAAGGGCACTTATGAGAATGGAAAATGGACACTTATTGCAAGGAAAAAAGGAACTTTTCCTATGTAAAAAGGGGCACTTGTCAATGTAAAAGGGGCACTTGTCAATGTAAAAGGGGCACTTTTAGGGTACTTGAAAAAGTGGGAGGGCACTGTGCCCCCCCTGCCCTCCGGGAGCGCCGCCTCTGCACTGACAACAGAAGACGAAGAAGAAGAAGAAGACGAAAAAGAAGGAAAAAGAAGAGCTCTAATAGCGCTCTTAGAGAGCGTTGTGTTGTTGTTGTTGTTTATTTTAGGTAAAATCTCAAATTAGTCTGTGCTTGCAGACTAAGCTTCTTCCGCCACGTATCGGCGATACCTCTGACATGAAATAGGAGAGATTAACAAGTAATATGTCTAGTAAATCAACACCAGCCACTCCAGAAGGAGGTATTGAGACCTCACAAGGATCCAGTAATCCATTATCTCGCAAACTCAACAAAATCTTGGAGACAAGGCTTGAAAATGACAAGGTAAGAACTCAGATCAGTCCCGTGTACTCGAATCGATGTGTGTGTGTGTGTATGTGCACTAACAAAGTCGTTCGTCTGAAGAAGTGTTGCTGTAGTGTTATTGCTATCCTTGTTTATTCAGTTGGAATATATCCATGCCTATGTTATGATACTGGTTTTTGTCAAAATCGTGGTTGAAAAATAAAAGAGGGAGGATAAAATTAGAAGCAGAAGCCAGAGGAATATTAAAAGAAACAGATCCATGAAATCTTTTTTAACAATCTTTAATCTGGTTCAAATCTAGCCTTAAGGGCTCTCTCGAAATGTTTTTTTAATGATATTATTCGAGAGAGCCTTAAACGGCTCCCATACCCCTGCACGGAGAGGCATGTAAACAAAACTCAAAAGTGGTCCAAAATCACACTTTCGCGCACCCGACCAATATTGGACAGTGGCTTTGATAAATTTTGTCGTAGTTTTGGTCTTAATTACCGCTTTAATTTCAAAATCGGATCTAAAAATAACAAAATAAGAGCAATTTTCTTACCAGACCGATACAGCTCAGCTCCCTTTTCACGTGTACCGTGTGAATTCACGATGTCTACACAATGGTGATGACCTCTGACTGGCACTTCCGTAATTGTGGGTAAATTGTGCTGCTTCCGTATAATGCGCTGTATGAGTGTTATTCAGCGCATTATACGGAAGCAGCACATTTACGAAGTGCCAGTCAGAGGTCATCACCATTGTGTAGACATCGTGAATTCACACGGTACACGTGAAAAGGGAGTTGAGCTGTATCGGTCTGGTAAGAAAATTGCTCTTATTTTGTTATTTTTAGATCCGATTTTGAAATTAAAGCGGTAATTAAGACCAAAACTACGACAAAATTTATCAAAGCCACTGTCCAATATTGGTCGGGTGCGCGAAAGTGTGATTTTGGACCACTTTTGAGTTTTGTTTACATGCCTCTCCGTGCAGGGGTATGGGAGCCGTTTAAGGCTCTCTCGAATAATATCATTAAAAAAACATTTCGAGAGAGCCCTTAAGGCTATTCAAATCAATCTGATTGAAAAATGAAAATCAGAAAGTTATGAATAAACCTAGTCTATTTGAAATATTCTGTGTTGTTAGGTAGGACAAGCCCCAATTGTTTGTGCTGGATGGCAACAAGCATTCTGACTATTTTAATACAATTATTTATAACAGTAACAGGTGAATGAAATAAGTTGTATCATGGCACTTAACAAAGTTTTAACTTTTATGCATTCAATTATATATTATTAGAAGAAATTAGCTATTGCATATCATCCAGGGCAGCGTCTCACAAAACCGTCATAAGTACAAGTCCAACGACATCCCATTGAAATGCGTGTATTAAGTTTAAAACACATTTCAATGGGATGTTCATGAACTTGTACTTATGACGGTTTCGTGAGACACTGCCCAGGCCAATTACTTTTTAATTTTTTTTCTCCCATCTTCTTGCCCCTCCAGGATGCACTAGAGGCCCTGAAGGCCCTCTCCACATTCTTCACAGACAACAACCTGCGCAGTCGAAGGAAACTAAGAGGAGACATCGAGCGTAGGAGTCTGGCCATCAGTGAACAGTTTGCTGATGCGTTTAGTGTCGTGACTGATGTATGAATGATTTTTTTTCATTTCTATGTTTTATTTGGCTACAAGAATCACTTATAAAAAAATATATACTTTGCTACTGACAGAGAAAAAATTATCCTTCTCTTTTCTGAAATTGTTTGATTACAGATCAGAGATACTCTCATTCAGGATAATGCTTAGAATTACCTGGTTGTTTGCAATTATATTACTTTGTCAATAGAGATGTCTTGATTGGTATTATACTAATTACTGTAGAAAATAAGAAATGGTTCTAAGAATTCTAATACATTATTTAACAAAATTACTCTAATTTGTGTTTTTATTTTGTTATCTTACAGCAACTAGACAGCATTAATCAAGATGTAGAGGCTATGAATAACAGCTGTCAAGACATGACCAAGAGACTTGAGGTAAATTTATTTCTCTCTCTCTCTGTTTCTCTCTTTTTCTCTCCCTCTCTCTCTCTCACGATCTGTCTATTTATCTATCTATCCATCTTGTATTTGTCTCTTTCCTGTCTCATTCACCCCTCTCCTCTCATCAATAATAGTATAATAAGAGGGTTCCTGTAAGATAGCGATCATTTCTGTTAGATTTGATACTCCTGGCACTCCTCAATTATAACCCTGCTTTAGCATGGCTGCCTTTCCTTTACGGCGCTCAAGCATCTAAAGTAATTTTTTCCTGCCAGGTACCCTTTTACCTCGCCTGGGTTGAGTGAGGCAAATGTAGATTAATGTCTCCACTACAACACATTTCCTTATGGATGAAGCGCGCAACAACATAAAGATACGTACTGTAACCGTGTGGTGATATTATAGTATTAATGACTGCTTTGAGAGAAATAGTTGTTTTTATATGCTCAAGGGAAGGTTAGAATTGTGCTATTACCCGAGGCGTGCCGAGGGTGAAAGCCCAATTGTAACCTTCCCGAGAGCGTATAAAAAGAACTATTTCTCGAATATTAAAGCAGTCATTAATACTTTTATATGCCGAAAAAAAAGAAAAAAAAGAAAAAAAAAAAACTTTTGTCGAAGATGGGATTCGAACTCTTGCGTACAAAAGGTGATGTACCTACAGTCAGCGCCTCAAACCGCTCGGCCAGCGCGCACTGTCAACATGTAAAGTAGTTTTCTTTAATATATACATTAAAATGAATTGAAAACGGCTTCGCGTGGTCGATGCTTCGCCGCTGCTCCATTAAACGGGCCCTTCTTTTACTTTTGCAATGCATATTGGCACGAACTTAGATCAAGATCTATCGGCAGATGTTGTTTTTTTGTTTTTGGAAGTTTATTTTCGTCTTCATGTCAACAATGCAAGATAAAATTGTCGGTAAGATCGATCGAGATTCAATTGTATTGAAATTACCGACCAATTCTTCGCACACGTACGGTATCCTTGATCGCTCAGACCATTTTTTAACATGTAAACCTATGGGGTAACCATGGAGACTGACCTATTTTCCCAATAACCATGGTTATTGGGATTTTGAACTGTTTTTTAACCATGGTTACCGGGAATTTTCGGGAACAGTAAAAGTTTATGAATGCAATTTCGACCAATCAGATTGCTGGATTACTTAAGTGAGGTATATAAAGGGTTCTACTTTTTCTACTTAAAACTTGTATGAAGCTGAAACCCAGAAATGAAGCTGCCGACCATTTCATTTTTGACAGACTACATTGGCAGTTATTTCTATGGTAGCTTCAATGATGCAAATTCAGTTCAATGACACAGCCCTGAACATGAAAACACATGCTTGTGACTGTTTAAAGGCAAGAGATATGACATATATTTTGTTCAACCTTTTCTCTGTTTTAATCAACAGCTAGCCAGAGACCAAACTTCTGATCTGATTAACAAAACAACAGATCTCCAGAAGGAAGGGTAAGTCCTTTTTGTTAACGTCTTACTTACAATTTCAACTAGTAATACTATCAAATTACAGTCAAACCTGTCTAAGTGGCCACCTCTCTATAAAGGCCACCTGCCTATAGTAGCCATGCATTTTGTCTCACGCGTGAAAGAAATATGTGTTGTAGAACCTGTCTAGAAAGGCCACCTGTCTACAGTAGCCACATTTCCCCCCTTGGTTGGCCTTAATAGACAGGTATGACTGTACGTACATGTAGATGTAATTTTACTTGTATCTAGGATGATTAGTCATACAGGCTACCTATTTCATCATCATGTACAAACAGCAATTAAAAGTAACATTGAAGATACCGCAAGTTATTTTTGAAGGGCCTCTGAATGAACAATATTATTGCTCATAAAGCTTCCCTGGGCAAGCATAATCTATTCTTATCATTATTTTACGATAAAAATTAGATGCTGTATTCGCCTTGTCTTGCCATCAGACTAGAATTCCTGAAATTTCCTCTTTTTTAAAGCTTTGAAGCTATTTAACAAGGTACCATTATCATTTTATTATTTAGACCGAAAGCTTCAGTCTCCGATATTGACACTTGTTCCACTAAGACTATGTCTGGCTCCACTGACTGCTTCTAAACAGAGAGTGGAGAAAATAAACTAGTTAACCCACCCCCCCCCCCTTCTCCAAGGGCAAGGGTTAACATCTGGTTGACATTAAATCAGTTTAATTAAATAATTCCCCATTCCAGATGGTTATTTCTGTCTTTAAATGGTTACGATTGGAGAATCTACATTCAAGTGTTTGCGTTTGGTTTACAGGCAGAGACTAGATATGAGAGCCCGGGTGGCTGATGCATTCTTAGCCAAATACCAGCTGAAACCGGAAGAAGCAAGGGTGCTACGGGGAACCAGAGATGGACAGTTACAAGAGGTGAAACATTCTAACACAATAATGATATCATTTGATAAAAGGAAACCTCACCCCAAAGAATAAGTGTGGGTATGCTGGAAGATGAGATTTGTTCCTGGCAATTGACGTACAATATTCCTAACAAAATTGTTCATGAGATATATTACTGAAGATATTCTTGGCATGATGTAATGTCTTTACCTTTCAGCATGACATGGGCAAAGTGATATACCAGGCAAACTGTACAAGTACAACGCAAATTGCATAAATAAGTTGTTGCTCTTCTTGGGTGAAGGTTTCACATAAATGAAATAGATTTTTCAACTGCAATATTCTAGCATATTTAAATAAATGAGTTACAATTGTTCCCCCGTTGATATTTTCCCCACCAAGATCAATTTTTACCTCCTCAGCTATTATTTTTGCCTCATTGAAAAGTAAAGGCCCTTTTATTGAATTAAAAAGTATATCCAAGTAGCAGTCTAATTGGAAATAATTTGTAATTTAATAACAAAACCTTTACTTTTCAATGAAGGAGACAGTATAGAAGGGAGAGGGGGGGGGGGGGGGCAGTGAGGGAAATTCAAAGCTGATTTCTAATACTGTTGTGATTGTTTTGTTTCTTTACAGAATTTCTTTCACTCTCTGACTAGAATCAAGCAGATTCACAATGACTGTAAGGTGTTACTGAGAACCAACCAGCAGACAGCTGGGTAAGCACTTTTCTAAACCCTGATAAAAAACAAACAATAGGCCCGTCTTTATCAGCTTGAGTTTGCCAAAAAGCCTGCTATTTCTGATTTGGGAAATAAGCCCGAAGTTGCAAATCGCATCTTTATCAGCTCGAGACTCGACCTTGAAACTCGAAACTCGAGCTGGAGAAATTAGCTTGAGATATTTTGCTCAGCGTTCGCGCATAGTGCGAGTCTTCGGGCTGGTGAATATGCACCGGACAAATAGCAGGATATTTTGAAAACTAGCCGGAAATATCTTGGGATGATTATCTCGATTAGCTCTTCCTGCTATACTCCTGCACCAAACTTAAACAAAGACAAAAGCTAGCGTGTGGCAATGTACCGGCAAAAGATTTAAAAAGCATTGGATTTAATATGAATGTATGTTTGTTTGTTTTTAGTCTCGAGATCATGGAATCCATGGCTTTACACCAGGAGACAGCATATGAAAGGTTGTACAGATGGACACAAGGTACTACTTTCTATTTCATTTACAAAAGGGGAGGGGGGGGGGGGGGGGAGGTTGTTGGCCCATTCTTGTTGAAAATTGTGTATTATCATCATACTTAGTTTAGAAAGAAAAGGATGATTCAATTTAAGTGTAATCATGTCTGAATATTATTAGTTTATGGCAATGGTGTACTTGAGAATTTCTACTAAATTGATCTTGCAAACATGCGCACAAATCCTTTCTCTCTCTCTCTCTCTCTGTATCTCAGTTTGTCTCACCATATACAGTATCTGTCTGTCATTCACACACACTCATTCTACATTTGACCCTCTTTCTCTTTCTTTGTCCCTAATACTCCATTTATCAATTCTTCCCCTTTTAAGTATTTGGCTATTTGTACTGCTAATCTGTAATATATATCTGAATTGATGCATTGAGTGCGATATAAAAGCAGATTATTATTATGATATATTCTCTTTGTATGGATAAAGGTGAATGTCGAAGCATGACAGGAGATTCTTTTGAGGTGACATTGCTCCATTGTAAGGCCATGGAAGCACTCCAAGACAGACCTGTCTTGTTCAGGTGAGCTCTTCTTCTTCCTCTGTTAAAGGGATTGGGTAGCTGTGTCTCCGATTCTGAAACAAAATCCTGGATTTAGCTCATTCTGCAATGATAATTATAAACCTTTAGGTCAGTCAGGAAACCCATGACTTTTACCAGCCAATCGCCTGTCTGATTATCAAGATATTTATGATTGGAAATCGAACCAAATTTTCTGTTTTACTAATGGCTTTCATAACACTACAGTCTATTGGGGAAAAACGAGTATGGTAAAACATGTCACTCAAAGATTCTTACTTTTTTGAGGCACTTCATGATCATTTTGAAGCGCAATTTTTTTAGGGCTTTAATATTACACCATATCACAGACACTGAAAACATGTAGGGTCATGCATCTCAGATTTAAAATTGTTAAATGATGCCTTTAATCTTCAAAGGGCTATGCAACCTATCCCGAAGATCTGTACAGGAAGATTACCAGTTGTGTATGCAGGCACAATAAACACTGGGTCTACACCCTACTCTTGTGAGAAGTGTAGCGTATTAACATGCATAGGGTGTGACTCTCCTACATATGGGGCCTCCACTTTTCTGTCAGAGGAACAGAGTGTTTCCTCTGTACCCGAGCTTACATTCCATGTTTTCCTAGCTCGAAGTAGCCATTGATTATGCTGGGTTTGTTACTGATGTTATATGAGATGTTTATTTGATCCAGTTGTAATCTATTGTTTACAGGTATGCTTTAGATGAGTTTGGTACGGCTAGAAGAACAGCCATGGTCAGAGGATTTATTGATGCGCTGACAAGGGGAGGTAAGTATTATCTCGTATTCCTCAGACTTTCTATGTACACATTTGTATCCCATATCAATTTTACAACTTTTTCTTCTTCTTCTTCTCCTTCTTCTTATTCTTGTACTCCTTTTTCTTCTTCTCCTCCATCTTCTCTTTCTTCTCCTTCCTCCCTTCTGTTTTAGTGTAAAAATATGTGCGCCTATTGCTACCTTAAACTAATACTATTGTCATAAAGTCAACATCAAGGAAGCAACACAAAAATCTGCCTTTTTTCTACACCGATCATTACTTGCGTGTCTGGCCATGATCAACTTTAATTTTAGTCCACAGTTCGCTACGACAGACATCGTTGGTTTTAGTATACCTAATAAATATTGCCAGCACTAAAACAGCTTGTATCTGACAAGGAAATGGCATTTTTTAGTGTAAGCTATCGTTTATATTTGTTTAATCTTGGTAACGTATGGAAAGGCAAATTACCAAAGATCTTGGACTTACCGACCTTTATTTAAATTAGATGTTTTAGTAAAAAGCACTTTTGTTGTCATCCATGGTAGTGGGATCCACTGCACAATATCTGCTTTTGATTTGAATGAGAAAAATTATTTTTCTGTTCACTCAGGCAGAGGAGGTACCCCACGTCCAATTGAACTACATTCCCATGATCCAATGCGGTATGTCGGTGATATGTTGGCATGGTTACATCAAGCTTCCGCATCAGAGAAAGAACACCTTGACGCCTTGCTGCGACTGGCATCGGCACAGTGTAAGTTATCGCACTCTTTTGTTCTGAATTTATCATTTTGTTTGATAAAGAAATTCATATCATATTCAAATAGATTAGTATGTTTTGGTAAAGGAAGCAACCATATTGGCAATGAAGCACTTTTGCAATTTAGCTTAAAGCTTAAGGATTGGAATTAGTCGATAAGGATATCAAAGATTAGCTCTTGGTATTCCTATACTGAAATGATACAGTTGAAAAATTAATTGCAGCATTTGTTTCAAATCATAAGTTTATTTCACAGTAAATTTGACAAATCATGGTGTTCGAACATACATGTAGCTAAGGCACTAGATCTGTGAGTTGCATAAGACCTTCCGGAAATAGCAAATTATGATGTATATATATGTACGTTTACAACACGTTCAGAAAATGACCAGCCCACAGTTGTTTGTATGGCCAATAATGGTATGTTTATAGCTAGTGATTTACAGAGGAATTTTTTTATTTTTCTGTGTATCTTTTTTCCCCCTTGCTTTGATTTGCTTTCCAATATCAGCTCGAGAAGAAGAAATCCAAGAGATTCTGAGCCATATTACAGAGGGTATCTGCAGACCATTCAAGGTTTGTACATTATGATAAATGTTTTAATTATATCTTTTCATATTTCTTTTCTTGTTCTTTGATCATTAAGTTGTATTTATCTCAAATGATTTTTGTGACCACCTGTTGTCATTTTTATATTGCTATATCTAGTTGGCTATTTATTAATAATAATTAAAACCGTGCTTTTAAAGCGCTTACCACTGAAGTCTCTAAAGCATACACCTTGCTCTAAATTCTTTTCTTTAATTTCATCACAACATTGATCTTAACAAGTATTGCAACATAATTATTTGTTGGATGGAATCATCAGATGGCATTCATCTTTTATAAAACCATAACAAATCTGACATTGGCATCTGTACTGATTTGAATTACATTATCTGTTTTCATTATGTTTAAACATTTATCAGTGCAATAATGTCAAAAAGGGACCCCAAAAGAGCTAAGCATTGTTATCCATTTGTACTGATCATCAGGATAGTGAAATATGGAATTGTTCTAAAAAAAAACATCCTTGAAATCATTTCAAAATTTATTGAATTTAGTTTTCAGTCTGCAAAATATAATAATTTAAACATATTGAACACTGTTAATGATGTCTATTAAATAAATGGTCAGAATTGGGGAGGAAGGTCTGCAGATCATAGTTATTAGGTTAACTTTTTCCATACCCGTGCAGCTTGACCGGATGCACCTGCTATTGCTATATTTATATATGTTTTTTCTATTGATTTGTCTAAATTCATGTTTGTTATATTGCTGTATTTATGTGACTTGATATGTCAAATAAAATAATAATAGTAATAATAAAAGCGTATTGTTTTTTTAATGTATTCCAGGTTCGTGTAGAGCAGGTGATTGTAGCCGAGCCGGGACCTGTTCTACTCTATAAGCTCACCAATATACATAAATTCTACAGATACACAATAGGGTGAGTCATAGCCTTGATAATCCAGGGCCCGTTGCATAAAACTTACCATTGATGGTAACTTTGCCATCAGTGGCAACTACCATGGTAACAGGGCTCAACAGCCAATCAAAATCAAGGAGTAGTAAATGGGTACTGTTGAGAACCTTATACATATTCATGTATGTAAATGTTAGATATGGGCATGCGCAGAGGACTGAATTGTAAAAATGAGGATTTTTTAATTTTAAAACCTAAGACCCTCTGCCTAGGGATTTTATTTTTTGAATTCATAATGTTGTTACTGTTGTCTGTTTATGATTTTATGATATAATTTTTTTGTAACGGCAGCCAAGCTAGAGCCAGGTTAATAATACTGGAGAGCCGGGAGTGGTAATGTGCCAGACATGAGCATTATACAAGACTCCACTATTATTGTTATTATTATTTGTAAAACAAAAGGATTCTTTATACTTTTGTTAATCTGCAGTCAGCTCCTGAGCAAGGAAGCTTCTTTGTTAGCCACACTGGAGGAGATGGAGGAGTTCGCGCAGAAAGTATTCTTCAATGCCTTGAACGTGAAGGCATCAAAACTGGTTGATAAGGTAAAGTAAACTCATTGTGATGTCATCAAAACTAGTGATAAGTTTGTGATGTCATCAAATCTAGTTGATATAGTATGGTGATGTTATTGTGATGTCATCAAAACTAGTTGATAAAGTTTAGTGAACTCATTGTGATGTCATAAAAACTAGTTAATAAGGTATAATGAACTCATTGTGATGTCATCAAAACAAATTGATGAGGTATAGTAAAATCTCATTGTGATGTCATCAAATCTAGTTGATAAGTTATGGTGAAATCTCATTGTAATGTGAACAAAAATACAAAATAGTATGTTCTGTCCTCAAAGCTGTAATATATTCATACTATGTCACTTTGTCAAATTAATAGGCATAATAAAATGTTTTGTGATAATGCATTCTGATTTTCTCAGTTTTAATCACTAATTGACAAAGTTCAATTAAATGATGAAATTAGTCTTCGACTATATTCAAGTAAATAACATTTGACTGTCTATTCTCTAGGTGGAACTTCCCCCAGCTGATCTAGGACCTACAGGTTCACTTACCCAAACTCTGAGTCTGCTCCGAGAGATCCTCACTTCCCATGATTCATCTGTGGTTTCCATGGATACCAGACAAGCTGACTTTGCCAAGGTACTAATTCCATGCATTTTCCTCCTCAATCTTCAGAAACGGGGTCATCAAGAAAAGAGTTTTGATTTATCTGAATTACTCACAACTCTGTAAATATATCAGCCCCTCACATTTTATCCTTTGTTGAATGCAAGAAATGTCATTAAATTAAATTTAGATCAAAATATATTATTTCTTCATGGCTATCTCGATCATATATTACGAATAACATATTCTTTCATGAACTCCCATCTAAGATAGGTCTACTATTCAATTAACATTCAGAGAAATGGAGATTTTAAGTCATTCTATCATTCGGATCAGTGGTGAATTGTGAGGGGATGACATCACAATTTCTGACTGCATTGCCAATTTGATATAAGGGTGGACTTCCCCTTAAGAACTAATCCAATTTAATGGCACTATCTTGTGAATTGTTGCCTCTGTGTGCAGTGATTAGCTAAAGATACAGTATTGCAGACATTATGATTGTACCATGAATATGAGAACACTTTGCTTTCAGATAGATGGTTGAATTATCTAATATGAAAATCTTACTTTTGTCTTTATTAGATCCTTGGATGTGTGTTGGATCCGTTGCTTCAGATGTGTTCTCTGTCAGCTAGTAAACTGAACCCATCTGATATGGCTGCATATATGATCAACTGCCTGTATGCAATGCAGACGACTCTATCACTCTATGAATATACGGATCAGAGACTGGAGATGCTCGAAGCACAGGTATGTAGCGTTGGGATAATGATGATGATGATGATTATGATAATAATAATGATGATGGGGATGATGATGGGGATGATGATGATGATAATGGTAATGGTGATGATGATGATGATGATGATGATGATGGTGGTGGTGGTGATGGTGGTGATGATGATATGGCTGCATACATGATCAACTGCCTGTATTCAATGCAGACTACACTATCACTTTTTGAATATACGGATCAGCGACTGGAGATGGTTGAAGCACAGGTATGTAGAATTGGGATGATGATGGTGATGATGATGATGATGATGGTGATGGTGGTGATGATGATATGGCTGCATACATGATCAACTGCCTGTATACAATGCAGACTACACTATCACTTTTTGAATATACGGATCAGCGACTGGAGATGCTTGAAGCACAGGTATGTAGAATTGGGATGATGATGATGATGAAGATGATAATGGTGTGATGACAATGATGATATAATATTACCTATTACCTTAATAAAAGTGAATGAATGAATGGAAAACTTAAATAAAAAATTTTGATGGTAGTGACTTGCATCAAAGCTGGACTGAACTGATCATCATTAAACTTCCATTGAATTTCTGCTGCAGAAAAAGGATAACGTCATACCAAACATGATTGTGATAGACAAGTGTGATTGCGCATCAAATGTAATGCCACTGTGTCAATTCTTGAAAGCACTGGCGTACAAAATTACCAAACACTATACTTCAATTATATTGAATATTTCCCTCTTTTTATTTTTTAAAGGTTTCTCCTTTTCCGAACACAAGACTGATAGACATGTATATATTCCATTTCGTCTCATTTATGAAATAAAAAAGCCTAATGAGATTGTGACTGTTGATTTCTTTATTAGGTTGATGCTCATGTGGACACCCTAGTGAATGAGCAGGCATCGTTTGTTTTAACACGGGTTGGGCTGCTCCAGATATACAGCATTGCACAGCAACATCTTACTACAGAGGTAAGCTATTGGTACATTTGGTTGTTAGTCTGTTTGTTAGTTTGTTTTACCCGACTGCTAAAGAAGCATGTGTATGCTTGTAAGTAAGCAACCAGGGGACCAACGGCTTTAAGTCCTCTGTGAGAGACTTGGTAATGAGGATTAATGCCTTACCGAAGGGCACTAGCACATTGATTGGATCTCCCAGTTCAAGACCACTGCTCTACCACCGAGCCATCACACCTTATTTGCTTGTCTTTAAATTTTGGTGGGCTTCTTGTAATGGAGTTCATTCTGAGATATACAGGTTATGAATCATCCTGAATGCTTTATTATGTAAAATAGGGTATTTGCTAGCAAGTATCATATTGGCTTGAAAGGTGTCATGTGACACTCAATAATTTATTATATGAAACTTGGAATGTGAAGATAGTAGAAGAAGGTATCCTGAGTAAACCTGCGTAAGAGGAAAAATGCTGACTTTAATAAATGATGATGATGATTATATCACTGCCATGGGGCTTATCATTCTACATGTATGTAGTGAGTTTACTCATCCTCTGTCTTTCTGTGATCTGTGCAAATCATTTATTTGTTTAATCTCTTTTATGCAGGGCCCTCTGTCTTCTGTTCATGGAATGGATTCGAGCTCAGTAAGAGATGGCATTGTAAGTACCGGTAGTCTTATCTTATTTTGTTTAACACGTTAGTAGACTTTGAATTAATTATAATAATTATAATGATTAATAATAAAAATGATAATAATAATAATATTAGTAATGATAATAATAATGATAATAATAGTACTAATAATAAGAATAATATAAAAGATTTTCAAGGTGCCAAATCTACTTGAAATTTAATTCTCAAGGTACACTAGTGCAAAAGAAGAAATCACATAAAAACACAAATACAAAAGTACAACTTCAGTAGGATAGATCATATGGGGAAAAATTGTCACTGGCCACATGAAACAGATGACATATTTGGATTATTTTTAAACACTTAAACTGATTTGCCTTTTCTAATCTCTCATGAGAGGGCATTCCACAGCGAATTGATTGAGTGTTGTAAGTAAGCTACACTGTATATATAAGAAAACAGATATAGAGAGATAGAGAGAAAGAGATAATTTTGACACTTTTTACAATATTGATGTGGAAACACCAACAATTCTATTCAGCCATACTTGGCTCTTGGCTGTGAATCAATATATTGTTTATTTCATCTTGACTCACCATTTCTTGCTCTATTCTTTGTCTCTCTGCTTGGATCAGAATCGGTTTGATTCCTTTCTTGGTTCACCTGATAGCTTCACAATGCCACAGATCAAGCTTCTACATAGTACAACAGTCAGGTAAGAAGAGTTATTACTACTTCTGTTACTTTGATGCAATTTAAAAAAAATATAATTCTATAAGGCCCTGGGAAACAATGAAATATGTTTAGGAGTGCTATATAAATTAATTTATTATTATCATTATCTTCAAAGGCTTGTTCAAACATGGCATGGTCAACTGCCACGGTTGATCATGGGTCATTATTACTTCTCTTACTTAGATTAAATTTTGTTTTTAACCCTGTAAAGCACTGTGAAACCATGGAATATGTTTGGGAGTGCTATTTAAATGAATTTATTACAATTATCATCACCATCATCATTAAAGGCTTGTGCATACATGGCACAGTAAACTGTGATGGTTGATCAATGGAGGGGGAGAGGGACACTTTAATAAAAACTTTAATAAGCAGTTTAGAAAACTTAATGGTAATTTGTGTAATCTTTTGAAAAAATGGATGCAAAGGTTTCCCTTGTTTTCATTGAGTTCTTTCATTTTTTTTAAAACCCTGGGCCTACTTATTTCGTAACTCAATCTTCTCATCTTTAAGAGGCTAAGATTTGTCAAAGGAATCAAACCATTTGGATTTATACCTTTCTTTTGTTTAATTCCACAGGGAGAAGATTCACAAGAGAGCCGTAGCCCTTATCTGCAGTGCATATGAGCTTCTACATACAGCCATCAACCACCCTGCAAATGATTATACCGAACCTGGATCTATAGTCAAGAGAACTCCGGATCAAATCAAATCTTTAGTTTCCTAAGAGAGACAATTACACCGATGCTTAATATATAGTGAAGAGGAGGCGTGATGGCCCCGTGGTAGGATTGTGGTCTAGTAATTGGGAGGTCCTGGGTTCAAACCAAGTTGATGCACCAGTGTCCTTTGGTATGACATTAATCCACATTGCCAAGTCCCTCAGATAGGACTTAAAATTGTAGGTTCCCAGGATTGCTTACTTACAAGCTATTTCTCCTTTTTATTGAAGATGAAGAAGAATAAGAAGAACTTAATGTATATGGGTGATATTCTCTTAATTTAAGCCGGGACTAAGTCCAGACTAAACAAGAATTTTAGTTCGCACTTCTATGGAATGCTAGGTTTCATCTTCCTCCTTCAATATTCATGACAAAGATAATCTACCAAGGACTTTGTTGAAATTTAGTGTATACTCATATTATCTTTTTCTTCCTATTTCAGTGCAAAATTAATTTTTTGGACACTTTTCATTGAAGGATTAAAATAATCTGTTCAGGGTAAATTAGTTCACAACAGGCACTCCATAAAAGTGTGAACTAACTAAGCACGCGCTAACTTAGTACGCGCTACCGGAATACCACCCTATGTTCTTATATACTTATAGGAACATATACTTAATATGTTCTTATACTAATGTTGTTACATATTCATATGAGTTAGAACATAACCTTATGTTCTTATTATGTTCTTCTTTTTATTGAAAATGAAGAAGAAGAACTTATACTTTTATGTTTCCACATTCTTATAGGAACATAAACTTATGTTGTTATAAAATCATATGTGTATAAGTGTATAATAACATATACTTATGTTTTTATTCTTATGTTGTTACATAATTATATGTATATTAGTATATAAGAACAAATTTTATACATTTCTTTTACCGGTATATGTGTATAGTTGTGTTCTTATAAATTAATACTTATGTTCTTGTATACTAATGTTCTTATGTTCTCATTTGTTCTTAAGAGCATACTTGCTTTCTTAACATTAGGGTAAAAGAAATCACCAATTAGTCAGAGCTCCAGACCAAATCAAATCGTTATTTTGTGATAAAAGACAGTTACACCAATGCTGGATCTAAATCCTGGATCAATAAATCTTAGTATCCTAAGAACAGATGATTCTCTGTAATTCTTGGATGGTAACTTTTGTGTGAGTAATATTCACTACAAACCTAGTCATTGATTTATTTTTGTGCAACATTTGCAGCGTACGCATACAGCTGAAGAAGAATTTGCGTAAACCCCAATATTACGTGTTGATTTCACGTTTCTTTAATTTGTTATGACAATTAACATACTTTTCACTAACACGAAAGATAACAAAGTTTTGAGAATACCGCCCAGGATCTTATTTCCTCTGTTACTGTAATCTATGGAGTACCAAGTGTCAATTTCACCAATAAATGAAATAAACATATTTATGTTGCTGAATGACTATACAAATTTGTGTTATCATGAAATTGATATCTTATTAAAGATTTCATAGTAATTGCAACTATGTACATAAGAGATTTTAAAACTTACAGGAACATTCCTCAAAGTGAATATCTTCAGTGGAAATATATATGACTTTCTGATTGATTTATATGTTGTTGTGGATGTATTTAAACTGTTAAATAAATTTGACTTAGATAAATAAATGTATGTTCTAGCAAGGATGTGGTAGATTTGATCTGGCTATCCATATTATTATGTTCAAAATTAGGTTTTCTGTATGCACTTGTTTTGATGAGTGATTCATAGTCCCACATGGGGGAACATATTCATGTGACATGTACTCAATATATCCATCCTTTTAGCCAATGAGAATTAGATAGGCATTGATGAAATATGTAAAGAGATATTTGAAATAATAAGAGATGACAGAATATTGTATTATTCTTTCTTTCTGAAGGAATATATGTACATATATTACATAACAGAAGACAAGTCTATTTCATTTATCAGTGTATTTGTTTGAATGGAATATCAGACATGCTAGACTCATGTTAGTGATGTGTAAAGAGAAAATAAAATCATTTCAAAGTGTCAAGGTTGGAAGTCCACTGTGTCTTTATTTGACTAAAATGCAATTCATGAATAGATTCAAATAAATATATAATAAATACCATATTGTAATGTACATGTTAAAGAAATAAAGAACAAATCTTTGATAATTATAATTGGGAATTCGGCTTTTTAAAGAAATATATATTGTTTCAATTCTAAATAAATATACAAATCTGAACAAGGAGGATATGAATGAGAGAAGTTAAATGCAAAGCGAGAGAAGCTCAATGTGAAGATCGATATTTTGTATGTAATATAGTTCTAAAATATATGGTATGACAGAGATATGAAAAGGGGAATTGGAGAAGGAAGCGAAATCGAGCAGGAATGAGTTCGAGTGTCTAGTTGTGTGTTAGCAAAACTTCTAGGTTATTGTCCGACCTTTAGTATAAAAAAAATGCATGTGTGTGTATATATATATATATATATATATATATTTGAGTTGACAATCCTCCGTCACAGCAATATAAAAATAATAATTAAAGCAATTGAAATAAAAATCCTTGAGAGCAAGAGGATTATAGAAAAGAAAATGACAGAGCTATTTACATAATCAGCTCAGCCAGCTCTTTTTAATGGAGGGCAGACCATGTGCATATTTGCCGATAAATTTAATATTAATATTCGTATTACAGATGAAATTAGCGACATAATCTTGCAACATCATTGAAGGGTGTGGACCCCTCCGAGTGGCTACTCTGATTGTTAATAACAGCTTAATTGAATAAACCCATACATGTAAATTACTTATCACGAGGAGCTAGGTATTGTTGTATTTATTTTCCAATCATATTAAAAAGACAAATAACATATGACATAAAACGAAATGAAACATAACAGAATTTAAAAAAAAAAAAAAATTACATGTGTATATAGATTGCTTAAAAATGATTGGCTGGATTGCCCGTTCAGTGTCATAAAAATATATGACACTGTTCTTCCTGGGGGTCCAGGTACAATTAAAAGAAACATTACGTAAATAGAAATTTTAAAAATAATGCACAAGCTGCTGAGTATAACACTTGCATGTCCTCTTTCGTGTTAACCAATGAAACAAAACAATTAAAAGCAAGAAAAGGCTATACATTTACAATTGCTGAGATTTGCGGATAATTAACCCGCTATGCGCGAATCAGTAAGAGGAACGACTGCAAGAAAGAGAGATAGAGAGAGAGAGAGAGAGAGAAAGGGAGAAAGAGAAATGGAGAAGAACTCTCTTGCAAAGCGTGTGGAAGGCACATGTAACGCCTGGCGCGTCCGGGGAAAGAAATCAAAATCAAAAGGTATCATCTCATTTAAAAAACAATCTCGATATCAATGGCAAATTAGAGTAACTGTAGTATGGAACTGAATTGTTGCATTTGATTGAATGTGAGAAAATTCGATATACAAAGGTGACACTTGTTTTTTAATTTAAAAACAAAAGATTTATAAGGCACTGGTTCCGTTTGGCGAGTATATTAGTCATAGCTTATTTCTAATGATTGGGAAAAGAATACATTCTCGTTTGGTGTTTCGTATTTTGATAATATTATAGAGTCTTGTCAAATGAAAACACAAAAACAAGTATCATAGTTTCAAAGTCTGTTTATAAGTCTGGTACAAATATACACAAACAAACATTCAACAAGAATTTAACAACAATTCAGTACAGAAAGCGAAAATGACGGATTTTGTTTTTGTTTTTACAAATAGGAATAATTTACGTTTTACCCGAGTCGCCACAATTACCTTCTGTCAATATGGCGAACCGAAGTGCGAATGGTTTTTCTCCTCCAAATGCCTTTTTGTTGAAAATTTCTATTGAAAAAGAGGGGAACGGACGGGGGGGGGGGGGGGTGTGAGATCACTGGCATAACTATATTGACCAATCGGATGTCCCAGAGGTCACAGTAAACAACTAAATTATTCATACCCCTTGTAGTGTTAATGGTTTTTTCGTAACTAAAAAATGAAAGGTGGACTGGTTGAGTTAGGACCCGTCTTTGAGATTCTTTTAGATGTAAGCTTTGGTATGTCACACTCTTAAGAATCATAAATCGGGACAAAGCAATTGTTCACATATTCTTGTAAGGGGTATGAATAATTTAGTTGTTAATTGTATCTCTTCCTGCGTCTCAGTGTTGCACTGTATATTGGCAACACCAACATTATCGTCATCCATCCGTTCACATGAGTATTTAGTAGTTATAATGGTTGTATCTGTTCACATTAGGAGTGAGAACTGAACCTTTGCTGCCCACCAGGCTCTTTGCTGCTGACTTAGGTCGTAGTCTATGAAGCAGTCGTTCTTTCCTTGCGCAGTCTTCCCAGAGGAGCCGGATGCGATCGGCTCGGCATAGATGAGGATCGTCGTAGCGCTCCATCTGGAGATGCTCATGTTCCTTTATCAAACGGTACTTCTCATCATCAGTCAGCTGGGAAATTGCATCATCGGTCCATTCTTCCAGCAGACTGCGCAGTGAATGATTGGTGTCTAGGAAACCACAGCGAAGAAGTCAAGAGAAAACATTATGAAATTAAGATTTAAAGAGCAATGCAGACATGTACGCGCGAAATTAAGCTTATTAAAGGTAGGATTTACTCGTCAGCGATAATCAAAGATTTTGAAACGAATTATTTTCATATCAAATAAAAAGGATCTAGGAGTATCGTTGTAGAAAAAAAATGAAGCATGTTTCTTTCGTTAATGACATAATCCATCCGCTCTTGTTGAGTCTGTTCTCGACTCGAGTGCGGATAGATCGCATAATGAACATATTGGCATGCGTCGAGGTCGTTCTAGGGCCCTGTTGCATAAAACCTGTAGGGCCTAACTTTTGTATTAAGCTTTAGAAATAACTGCATTTGATTGGACATGTTCGTCAAATTATCATTGGATTTTGACACTTGTTACTGATAACAACTTTAATGAGACGGGTCCTTGATTCATACCTTTTGACGGACAGCACTTGGAAACACCGTCTTTTGTTTCTCCATTAGTCTTTGTCTCGGAGCATCTGTCTGCATCTGATGTTGATTCAATATCACCATGAAATACCATATCTTCTGATACAGAAGGACTGTGGATTTCTCCTGTGTCGGCTCCCACCTTCATATCAACCTCCGGACTAACTGCTTCATCATATAAATATATGGAGTTCGCTGGAGTCTTCATCACCGATTCTTGACTGGGGTCAGTCTGTTGCAAGGAAACGTCTGGAGGAATCTCCTCATTTCGTTCCTCGACCAGAGCATCGGACAGGCCATTGTCTTTTACTTTATCACATCCATCGTCGTCTTCAGTTTCATGGTCGTTGTCAGTGGTAGTATCGAATTCATTGTTTCCATCATTCCAAGACACGTTCCTAGCATGACGTTGGTTTGTCTTTCTCTTGAGACAAGTTTTCAAGTGGTTGCCATGGTCACCGTCAACCACAGGGTATCGGCCGTCTTGGAGATTGAGATCACTAAGGCGGCCTTCCACTGAATCATGTGCATGCCATCGAAAATGTGGATTTTCTTCTCTATAACCGTTCCTCTCTAGATCGAGGCTTGTGCATCCTAATGCCGGTGATGCCCTCATTTTATCATCGAAGAAACTTCCATCATTCCAAGGGTCAGTGGTCTCGTCGGCCCATTCATTGGGAGTCTGTTTCTTGTGCCGTAGTCGGTAAGGGTATGGTGATACTGTGCGCCTTGATCGCCCCGATTGGAAGATCCCTAAACCACCTCGAGATCGATCTGCACCATGCTCCTCTTTCTTATTCTCATCCCCTTCATTGCATTCCTGAACATCGTTGTACGGAGAACAGTCGATGTCGAATGCTTCCAAGTCATCGTCGTCACAGAAGTCCACTTCGTCCACAACCTCGGCGTGAGTAACACTAGCAGACGTCGAAGGATTATATTTCTGCGGTTGAGCTAGCGAATGATTGGCAATTTTCTTAATTTTTTTCTTTCCCAATGTGGATGACTTGTTTCCGATGGAGCCATGTCGAACTCCAAATGGTGAGCTGCTCCCAAACGAAGCTTTTGCAAGATCCTGGCTGGTTGGTCGAGTCAGAGTGTTTGCTCGCTCGTCTTTCCCATGCCTTAGGTTATTATGGCCTCTATTAGAACTCTTGTCTTGTTGCTGATTACGAATGTAGGCATCTGTCAATTGTTGCTTTTTAGTGGCCGGCTTTTTATCTCGCTTGGTCTCTTCAGGGTCGCGAGAGGCATCCATGTTGGCCAAAGACTTCACGTTTGTTATGATTAGTCCGAGCTCATTCAGGGACGTCACAAATTCTAAAGAGTAATTTGACATCCCCTCAAAACAATATAAATCAGAGGAAAATGTTTAAAAGTATAACAAATTGTTGAACTGTTTAAACATTTTAGTAATGTAAGGCCTACCTAATGTTATTTGTTTTGATCAAGCACACATAACAAATAAACTTGTCCAGATTGCCATGGAATTGCGCGCTCCATTGCTCATGCACGCGCATGATCAACAATGCGCTTTAGCAGTAATACGTCATAATCGAACAGTGAAATGTTAAAGAGGAGAACTGGGCCCCGTCTTACAAAGAGTTGATATCAATCGTAACTATGTACATAAGAGATAGGAGACTGCAAACTTGAGATTGATTGGAGGACTTACGATTGATTTGGATCGATCGTAACTCTTTGTAAGACGGGGCCCTGATCAGAATATAAGATGTTAATAAAATGTGTACAACCAGAAATTGAGAGAGATAATGGAGAGTTATTTAAGGGGACACAACTATCCCATCACAGTTGTGAAAAGAAGACAGCTAAAGTGGTTTTGGAATGTAACTATAGATGGACGGATAGCTATTGGCTGTTCTGTTCTTTCATCTGTTCTCCTTCTCTTTAATTCTTCCTTGACTCCTTGTCTATCCTATTCTCTTCCCTTTTCCCTCTCTGTCATTGCATTGAACTCGTTATTCCCCCCGGTTTCTTGAATACAAGTTTGATCTAGCTAAAAAATTTACGTCTGTTGTAGGTTCAGGGGCGGATCTAGCTTTTTGCTAAGGGGGGGGGGGGGGTTTGACCAAAATAATGACGATGCAGAGCATCGTCCACGAGCCGCGAAGCGGCGAGCCGATTTTTTTTGGGGTGTTTATTTGAACCCCGTAAGTGATGTTTTCCTGGCATCTATTAACACAATGGAGACCATAAAAAGCAGTGCATGATAACGTCTTTTTAAATCAAGTAACAGTTAAATACACAGTTATATCCAGAGTTATCATGTGTTTGGTTAGGTTACCAGATGAGTTGAATATCTTCTCACAATATTTGCACTTGAAAGGGTTTCTCTCCAGCGTGCGTTCTTTTTTTCTTTTTTTTTCTTTTTTTTTCCCTTTTTTTTTTTTTTTTTTGGCCCGCCCAAGGGGGGGGAGGGGGGGTTAAACCCCCTAAACCCCCCCCCCCGTAGATCCGCGCCTGAGGTTCCTACACTTTTTCTCAAATTAAGATGCAATAAAAGACTCACAATTCTTTGATAAGTGATGCAATTTATATATTTACTAAGGAAGTTTGTACATCATTTAAAATTTGCAACTTTATTATAGTACCAATTTTGGTAATGCAGTGCTTTAAAAAAAAGGGTTATTATAATATATGAGAAAGTGAATATAAATTTGAACCAATTTGAGCCATTTGAACCATGCAGCTAGTATAATGGTCATATATTTACCACATGGATGGACTCAGTGGCAAATTAGGATTAATGTATTGCCAAAGGACGTTTAGTGCAGTGCTAGGATTCGAATCCTCAGGCCATCGCCCCTTATTGAGAGTCAATAATGTCAATTGAATGAACAACTATACCGCGGTACCTCTTTTTTTTTTTTTCTTTCTTCTTTTCTCTGCGGACCCGGTATGCCATTGCGGTGTCTTATGAACAGTTTTTAGCAATGGTAATTGCCCGGGTAATTGGTAATGGGTAATTTGGTAGATATATCATGCCCCGGATCATTTCTACAACTCCCACTTGTATACGAAGCAAATCTGAGGACTGCAGAAATGTTGTCCTTTCTGTTGCATGTAATCGTGTCGCATATACCCAGTCGTTTTTCATCTACCGTAGATCGACGAATAAATTACTATAAAAACGGGGAGAATTTATTAGTGGACTAGTTCATTTTTTTAATAGGGGTGTACATCCTTACCAAGCGCGTGTTTATCGGTGAAAAGGGAAAGCGATTACAAAGTATGGACACTCACTGTAGTGGAAGAAATATCGCTTCGAAAAATCGGACAATAGTAGAGCTAGTGAAGTATATGTTTTTTTTAAAAACAAATAATGATATGAGCAATAATCATTTTACTCATATTCATAATACCTATTTTATGAAATGAATTGGTTTTTCTATATGCAGCTGAAAATGGCGACACGAAGGACTAGGGAGAAGTCGACGACTGCGGAGACCGAGTCTGCAGTGTTTCTCTGAAACAGGTAGGATTTCATCTCACAAATGATAGCTTGCATGTGTATTTTGTGATGAATGTGAGGTTATTATGCATCTTTAAGGATGAATAAACTTGGGAGAATGACACATATTTAGAACCATTCGATGGTGGACATGATGGAGGAAAACGGCGAACCGAATACCGGTGATGCGGTGTCGATCAGTGTGTTGTATGTACAGTCTGTGTGTGTGTGAGCATAACTCGCATACCATTTCATTGCTGTCGTGTGTGGGGAGTTATTTTCAGTGCATAGCTCAGTATGGGGTTGCATAGACCGAAAGCTTCAGTCTCTATAATCGTCGGTTGTTCCACTGAGACTACGTCTGGCTCCACTAGACCTCCGGTTAGAGAGACTGAACGACTGCCTATGCCAGCCTGTGTTGAACTTATTCCGCTAGATTTTAGCCGCTAGGCCCCTCCCACAAACTTGCCACGGCCGTATTGTTATGCCCCCAAAATCCCCCAAAATGTCATTTTACCTCGTTCATTTCCAATTTTAAATTAGGCCTAGGCTATAATACATCGGTTCCACTTACTAACTTCATTGATATAATCCGTTTAATGGTCCCTTTTAAGGAAATTATCGGTCAAAATCGACATCCATGTTGAAAATCTTGCAAGCCGTGTTTAACTCTCGCTGCCGTCAATCTCATCCCTTCTAGTCTACGCCGAAGGCAAAATGATTATGAAGGAAAAACTGTGCGCCATCTACACGTTCGTAATGGCGTTATCACAGTTTTTCCTTCATAATCATTTTGCCTTCGGCGTAGACTAGAAAGGATGAGATTGACGGCAGCGAGAGTTTAACACGGCTTGCAAGATTTTCAACATGGATGTCGATTTTGACCGATAATTTCCTTAAAAGGGACCATTAAACGGATTATATCAATGAAGTTAGTAAGTGGAACCGATGTATTATAGCCTAGGCCTAATTTAAAATTGGAAATGAACGAGGTAAAATGACATTTTGGGGGATTTTGGGGGCATAACAATACGGCCGTGGCAAGTTTGTGGGAGGGGCCTAGCGGCTAAAATCTAGCGGAATAAGTTCAACATAGGCTGGCATAGGCGATCGTTCTGTCTCTATAACCGGAGGGCTAGTGGAGCCAGACGTAGTCTCAGTGGAACAACCGACGATTATAGAGACTGAAGCTTTCGGTCTAGGGGTTGCAGGGATTTGCATTCCGGCTGACGATTGATGTCTGCTGTGCATTACGTGTATTGTCGAACCTTTTTGAACAATTTAGTGTATTTCTTTTATTAGATTTCATACAGCTTTTGTGTTGTTGGGTCTATCACACCATTTGCATTAATGAATCATATAAATTATAATATACCGGTAGTCTGGCTAAATGCCATGCCATGTATTGATGTACCAGTGGATTCCTGACTCTGTGAGTGTGAGCGAGATTGAGAATGAGACGAGTCAGACTCTTCTAATCTGAGGGTTTGAGCGAGGCTCACTGAGAATAATCTTTTCTCTGCAATATTTTGTTTTATCGTTAAAATATTTTATTGTATCACTAAAATAAAATTGATTAATCTAGGGTTTAGATAAGAGTTACGGTAAGTTATATATTAAGAATTTAAAGACCCTCTTTTCTTTTAAGATTTTATATTGAATTTTATCTCAGTCTCTAATTCTCATATTAACATTACAATATAGTACAAGAAGACCATACAAATTGAGTATTCTTTAGCAAAGAGTGGTCAGTCCCAAAATGAAGCATGCAAGCATATTGTAGGAAAGAAATCAAGGCTTTGCTATAATCTTTTTCATGATGTTTCTTTATTATTTCCTCTCTCTTGTACTTGTAGTTGTACTGTTTTGATAACCTCTTTTTGCACCATGATTTTTACAGTAAAATCTCCTAAAATCTGAGCTAATATTTTAGAGGTATTGTACTTGTAGTCGACTGATTAAAAACATTTGACAGTGAAAGTTGCAGATTTGAGCTATGGTTCTTTTCTTTGTCAAGACTTAAATCTACCTTACATTAATTACTCTCAGCTAGGCCCTTCTCTCAATGCAATTGCACTTGTAGTAAGTAACTAATACTGCTTTCTAACTGGCTTCTACCGGAGTCACACCGATGAAAATACTGATTGAATTTTCCTTATGTAAACAAAGGTGAAACCGCAGTTTTCCCCCTGTTGCTTTCTAACTGCCGGTGAAATTCACTCGCTGTGGCGAGCCCTTGCCGGAAGTGAAGAATTATTGCGTTATTATTAAGCCCGCGCTAGCATGCAGCATGTTCGACCATAAGTCAACAAACACAGCTGGTTACGATAAAGCGCACGTATACTGCGACCTTTGACCATTTTAATCGCCTTTTTCTCCCGAATGTTTTCTAACTGGCCGTTTCATCGGTGTCACACCGATAGAATGAGAATTTTTCCTGCTCTTGAGCAGGAGAATTTAATCGCCTATTTCTCTTCTTTTCTTCGGCTATTTAATCGCCTTTTTCTCCTCTGTTGCTTTCTATAACTGGCTGTTTCATCGGATGCGTCCGGATGCATCCGATGAAAATCAGTGCAGTTAGAAAAGGGTATTAGTATTTACATGGTAGGTGACTTACATGTACATGTACCTGAAGGGCACTGAGCATTGATTTAAGTTTTTGGATTATATCACTACCCATGTTTTCCAATGCAATTAGAATTGAACATTCCCTCTTTCAGAGATGAAGAATTTCATTCTACTCTTGTTTAGGCCATTCAAAAATATATACATGTTTAGCGTCCCCGCCCTCTTCCTTTTTGGGGCTGCCTCCTATTTAAAAAAAACCCCAAGAAAACACTGCTAAAATGGATCTAGGTCTATTTCTGATTTAAAAAAAAAAAAAAAAAAAAAATGTTGGTGGCCATCTTGAAAAATAGCCCGACTGTCAGGGAAATTGTACCGAGCGGCCATTTTGAGCAGCCATTTTGAAAGAAAAAAAAAGAAAAAAAAAGGGCCTCCTTCCTATTTTTCAAAGAGCAGGACGCTAAACATGTTTTTTTTATAATTTGGCCTTAAGTAAATTTGAATGACCCCATCTTATGAGCAGTACGATTAATCACAAATTATTTGCAATTGATATCAATCGCAGCTACTGTATGTACATAAGATATACATGTAGGAGACTGCAAACATTGATAAACAGTTGCAATTAATCGCCAATTATTTGGAATTGATATTAATCGCAGCTACAGTGTACATGTACATTGTGTGTACATAAGATATGGGAGACTGCAAACTTGCGATTGGTTGGAAGACTTGTGATTGATTCAAAATTCCATATCAATTGCAACTCTTTATTCATTTTTTTCTTCTTTTTTTTCAGGATAATTATGTAAACATAATGCAAGAAGTGGATGCAACACCAGTACAGTGCTCACGTCTTCCATAGTGTAGGAGTTTGCATCTAGGAGCGTTATAAAATAGACTTATCATCATGGTGCTCAAGAAAAGAAAACAGAGTACGACGAGACTCGGTGATGACATAGCTATCGCCGACTACGGTGCGGACGAAAACATCACCGACAACGCCAAGATCCAATGGGTCAACCAGCCATGGGTACGCAAGCTTCTCCGAGGAGCCGCCATGGTCAGCTTCATCTCGCTCTGCTTCAACACACCGAAGACCTTCGAGAAGATCCCCTCCATGGAATACATGACGCTGGTGGTCGACTCGGTCGTCACTCTCCTCTTCTTCTCGGAGACGATCTTCAAGATGACCACGAGAGGGATAATCTTTGTGAGTATTGTAAAGGGTTTGGTAACTATTGATACTTGAGATTCTCATTTCTGTAAAAGAAATATTTATTGCACATCAATTGATGTAGTTCTGTTTAATCATGAACTTGTGTTGTGCTGAATTATTGAATTCACATTGTATTTTTTCCCCTAGAGGAAAAATCTTTTTGTAAGTATTGTGAAAGGTTTGGTAGCTATTGATAATAGATTTTACATCTCTGTAAAAGAAATATTTATTGCACATCAATTGATGTAGTTCTGTTTAATCATGAACTTGTGTTGTGCTGAATTATTGAATTCACATTGTATTTTTTCCCCTAGAGGAAAAATCTTTTTGTAAGTATTGTGAAAGGTTTGGTAGCTATTGATAATAGATTTTACATCTCTGTAAATGAAACATTTATTAGCACATCAATTGATGTAGTTCTGTTTAATCATAAACTTGTGTTGTGCTGAATTATTGTATTCATATGGTATTTTTTTCTAAGAGTAATTTGAAAATTTGACCGTGAAACTTACTAATATGCGGAATACATTTGATCTGGATTTATGTTGACGTATGTTAGCTTGCTAATGATGTCCTTTGAAAGTAAGGATAAATCAATTGGGGTCTGTGCAGTGTCTTGATACCATACTCAAATTCATGAAATGAATAGTTTTTTTGCATAAATTTTAGTTCATGGATACAATTAATAAAGAGAAAGAATTAAATGATGATTTTCATTCAACTTCACCTTTCCTTTCATTCCAGGGGGAATATGCTTACCTTCGTGATAACTGGGGAAGATTTGATACTTCTATGGTTCTGTCATTGTGGGTCTCCATCCTCCTACAGGTATGATATTTTTTCCTCAATTCAGTAGTATTGAGTTGTCTAAGTTCATACAAAAGTTTAATATGCAGGAATTCTTCTTCTTCTTCAGTATGTGTCGACAGACTTGTTAGTCCATATAAAGACACGGAAACGAGGCACGTGGTCATGGAAACGATCGATCTTTCAGCAATTTTAGTGCATGGGACCAGACCAAAAGAAATCAGTTGATCCTGTGTGGATAATGCTATCAGGTAATTTATTCCAGTCCTTGCACGTGCGAGGGAAATAGGAGAACTTGAAGAAATCTGTCCTGCAATAATTCTGGTTCAATCGCTGGCTATTGCTGGTTGACGAACAACGAGATCTCGTAACAGCAGGAGGTGTTAGGGTCTTTGTGATAGTAGAGTGACTGGGATGGCATTATCAATTTATTCCCATGATGTGTACTGTTGTAAATTTCCCCCAAATATATGTAGTATAATTTTATGTATCATATTTTGTTTAGAGAATATAATCATGACAAAAATCGGTAATGTCAATAAGGACAAAAGTTGATTCATAAAGCTCTTTAAAGAAGCCTCCCTTTAATGTTTCATTTACTAAAAAATATATGTTGTAGATATGCCAGATTGCGAACGTGGTGCCAAAGTATACGCCTTACACCATCCTACGAGCACCGAGACCATTCATCATGATCAGATCCTTCAGGGTCTATCTCAAGTTCAAACTACCCAAGGCTAGAGTCAAATCAATCTTCAAGTAAGTCAAGCCTTTAACCCATTACCTACGGGAACCGGTTGGTCCCTGTATTAAGCCTATGGGAATCAGTAATTCAGTAGTGAGCAAGTTAAAGAGAAGGTTGAGTTCTGGGAAGAGCTGAACAATAATTTGTGAGCGTTATCATTGTTATTTGCAAGTGTGGAAGAACATCAGATAAAAAGTGTTCCCCGAAAAGCATGGCTCTTCAAATGCCGTAATATTCTAAATATGGCATATAACAGCATAACAATCGGGACAGATTTTTATGCCTCATGTTCCTGTAGTCCCATATATACATTTCTGTGTACAGTGCTTGTAACTTTACCAAGACTGGGTCATATTTTGTATCATTTTGATGTTTCCAGAACCTTGCAGTACACACCACTTTATGCTAGATGATCAACCTTTTCTGATCGATTCCACACCGTTTCTTTCACAATGCCATCGCATGACCAGAACTCAACTTTATCTTTAATACCTCCCCTTGGCATTCCCTTCTTTTTCTTGAAATTCAGCAATAATTTGTCAGTTTGATGATGAAATATTGAAGATTCCAATACCTCATCAGTCGATATAATCAGGTTTATGCACTATCTAATTGACCATTTCGAAATAACTCTAGATGGTTTCTTTTGCAATGCTTTCATGTGATCAGTATTCAGCATCTCCCTTAAAGTCCCACTGCACTACTTATAGCTTCTTGCTCCCTCTATATAGAAAACAATGCCTAAGCAGTGCCTGTTGGTCCCCCATGATCCTCTTTTTTAAATGTTAATTGAGAGCTGAGTTGATGAGATAACCCCCTGTTAGTGACCATGCTGGGGGGTCTAATCCCCCCTGGCCAAACTAGTGCAGACAGGCTTTAATAACTCCTCTTGGCCTTTCCTTGTTTTTCTTGAAATTCAGCAACATTTTGTCAGTTTGATGTTAAAATATTGAGGATTCCAATATTACCCATGATATAATCAGATTTATGTCCTATGTAATCAACCATTTAGAATTATATCTGATTGTAAAAACTCAAATTACACTTCTGGACCCTGTCTTACAAAGAGTTGATCCAAATCAATTGCAAGTTTGCAGTCTCCTATCAATGGCAAATAAATTGCGATTAATACCAACTCTTTGTAAGACAGGGCCCTGGACAGTTTCTTTCGCAATGCGATCATGTGATCCATATTCATTATTCAACAGCGCCCTTAAATCAGAACTATGCTCACTTTCATTAAGAAATAAAAGGTTTAGAGAATCTGTGTGTATGTTGTTCATACCGTAACGTCTATTTATCTTCCTACCTCAGGCGGTCTGGTCAGCAAGTTTGGAGTGTCACCATTTTCTTGGTGTTTTTCTTGGTGCTGTATGGAATGCTCGGCGTTCAGATGTTTGGGGATCTCTCTACACATTGCGTCAAGAAGGAAATAGACAATCAGACTTTCAGTGCAGTGTAAGAATTTTCTTGAAAAATATATTTAAGCTCTTTGGACATCGCTATGGGTATTACTTCAGAGTCTGTCTTCATTGGTTTTGATAACACATGTATGCCACCCTCCTGAATAATATCTGAATTGCAATTGGTACAGTAGATCATCCTCCTTAAATAGGAATTAGGAAAGAAATTGTTTTTATTTTGTTAAACTGGTATACATGATCATTTCTGTGTAAGAATTCTCTTTTCTCTTGAATGATATCTGAAACGCAATTGAAAGATCATCCCTATCAGATAGGAAGGATGAGAGAATTGTTTTACTTTGTTAAACTGCATGGTGTACATAATAAGTGCTGTGTAAGAATTCTCTTTTCTCTTGAAAACCATTCTTACAACCCGTTGGACCCTTGTAAAATGGTGGTTTATTTTACCAGTCTTTTCCCCCCTTTTTATTCAGTTTACTGCATCATTTCTGAGCATCACAATGGCTTTATAAGTGACATTACATATAATGATGAAGGAATACGTATTGTATTGTTTCTATTAATGTATTGAATTGATTATTCATGACTTGCTGCTTGCAGGGATTTTGATGTCAACTACCTAGCCATCCCGGACACTCACTGCAACTTAGAGAAGGAGAAAGGTGAACAGTGTCCGTACGGGATGGTGTGCAGGATAATCAGCCTGACCCCAGCCGTCAAAGGTTACAATAGCTTTCAACACATAGGTAAGTGTGATGCAATGTTTTATCAAATTTCATTCCATTCTGTTTTTAAAGGTACTATGTCCCATTTGCAGGCCAAAAAAATGAAAAGGTTAAATTCCAACGGCATATGAAAGACAATACTAAATTAGATCTTCCCTAAAAAAAGGGGGGCTTGAAAATGTCTTTAAATGGGAAAATAACAACTATTAGTTGTCGAATCGACTTAGGAGCTATAGAGCCAGTAAGTAATAGTCTGATTTTTCAGACCATTGTACCGAATGGTCTTACGTTTTAAGCTGAGCAAAGATTCAATCAGTTTAATTTTGGCCTTCACAAGAAGTGGGTTATTGTTGTAGACCAATGGTCATGTACCCTTTACAGCTCATTTTATGTATGTTATTACCAAAGGTGAAAACAAGCCGGTCAGTCACTCAATAGTGTCTGACAGTGAAGTCTAGCAAGTAAACGGGTTTCCTTGCATAATTTGAATATTAGGACACTGCTAACGTTTAAATTTCACAGATAGGACATACATGATATATATTCATAATTCCTGCAAAGTTCTACAGAATTTGATGTTAGCTGCAAAAGGGACATAGTATCTTTAACAAAATCTGCACAAGTAGGTATTCATAAACATACGTGTAAATAGATAAACTGATGATTATTCTTCCGTTTATGAGGTCAAAGGTCAAAAGTTACAGATCTCAATGAAAATACATTGGACTGAGAAAAGGTATGAAAATAACGTTCAAACCAAGTGAAAGAAAGGAAATATTTAGGACTCTGTCTATATCATCCACAATGAATCCCACAAATTTTCTAAAAGAAGACATAAATCTATTCACCTGAAAGCCATTCTACAAAGAAAAAGTAGTTAATTTACCCATTAATCTGCCCTATTTAGTTCTTCATGTTGTCTTAATATAATATTTTTATACTATCAATATTGCTTTCCTACCTTCTTTCATGTTTGTTGACCTCTCTGTTCTCTGTTCTTCCCCTCACTCCAAATTAAATGTTCTATGTTTTCACAGCTGCTGCTCCGAACTTTATGGAATACTCTACATGTACCCAGATTTTTCCCAACCAGCAGTCTCTCAATACCTTCAAATAATATCTAAAAACTCATCTCTTTTCTTTTAAATATCATACTTGTAAAGTGCATTTGAACATGAACATAAAATATATATAAATACATTATTAGTGTCGTGGTTATATTTGTAAATATTGTGATTTCTTTTAATTTTCCATTAAAAACACAAATTAGAAAAAAAAAAAAAAAAAAAAATTAAATAAATAGATAAACAAAATTGAAATAAAGAAATGAATAAAAAAAATTTTAGCCAAAAATTGTCTGTCTTTTGCTAGCCATTAAACAGAATTGGAAAAACCTGTGATGTTACAACACTACATTATTATTATTACAATTTATTTTCCATAAGGTGTGAGTATCTTCACAGTATATGAGAGTGCCTCTCTGGAAGGATGGGTTTTCATCATGTACAAAGTGACAGACAGTTTCCCATCGTGGAGGGGATATTTCTTCTTCATCACAATGATCTTCTTCCTAGCCTGGCTTGTGAAGGTAAATCATCATTTACATGGTTTTATGAAGAGCTTAATTCCAAAAGGAGCTAAATTCACTTTTGATGAAAATTGGGTTATTGATATCAGAACATTTTTCACTTAACTACCTGTCTTTCAACAAAATTATTTACCTAAATTTTGGGAGCAATTATGAAAAAATGCACCTTCTAATATCACTTTTCCATAGACGCCTGTACAAAATATGGAAAACAAGTTCTTTTGTCTCTGAAGTTATAAAAATGGATTTAGCTCCTTTTGGAATTAAACTTTTCATATGATGAATAAAGAGATTCTTCAAGGAGTTATTGAAATAATCAAAATGGAATTATGTATGGTTAGTTAAGGCTCAGTTTATTGTGTTGATGACCTGACATACTAATGAATAACAAAACTATGAGATACAAAATAATAAGAAATTCAAAGCCAGCATAAATGGCAAAACTGAATGCTAATGAAATCCTATTTGACACACAACCCCATTCTCTTACAGGTGGTAGCTTTAGGGAATATGGTTTAGATGCTAAAGTTTAATCAATCATATTAATTGGAGACAATTAGATAATACAGTACGCTTAGCCAGTTGGTGGGCATTGTCAGTGCTGATATATATGTATTTTTTTAAACGAGAAACAAATAAAGAAGCTTCTAGCACTGCATAATACTTAAACGCTGGTAAAACCCTCTAATAGAACAACCCAAAATACCTTATATTTGGGGTTTTAAGTACATTTTTTATACAGGCTGTGGTTTCCTAATCATATAGGCTCTATATTCTACAATGAAACCTGGCATTTTCAGTTCCGTGACAGATAATTGAACTCAGATTCTACTTTTATTTTCCCTCTCTTCTCTCTAGAATGTTTTCATAGCCGTTATCATTGAGACCTTTGCTGAGATCCGTGTTCAGTTTCGTCAGATGTGGACGAGAGGTGGGGCTGCTCAGTCTTTTGATTCCAAGGTAGAGGTACAGTAGTCACAAGAATTACATGGAGAATGGGTGTATAGTGGTGTTTCACAAAGATCCTAAGTTGAACTTACCTCAAGGTTGGACTTTACAATTATGGAAAGGCGTTACCATCTATGAAATATTTATTTTAAAAGGCATAAAATGTTGATTCAAATCATTCATATTTTCTATTATCAAGGAGATTTCATGATCGTGATGTCGAATTTATAAAAAGTCTAAAATACTTGATTTTTTGTTTTTGAATATATTTTATTCTAAGGCTACAAATAGCTCTCCATAATTTTCAAGCCCAACTTAGAGTTAAGTTCGACTTAGGATCTTTGTGAAACACCCCCACAGGGACCCGTTTCACAAAACTTGTCATCAGTGACAAATGACATTTTTTGTTATGAGCTACTAAAATCTTTGCTTCTGATTGGTTATCAGCAGATTTTTCACTGATATTTGTCATTTGTCATTGAAAAAAGGCTTTGTGAAAACAGCCCCCTGGTGTATACATACATTTGGTGGTGAGAGAAAGGAAGCTGAAATATTTTGGGCACATCATGATCGAGGAGGGAAAACAGCATTGAGGAGCAAATTATTCATGGTGCTGTGGAAGGACATCGAGGTAGAGGTTGTCCGACAACAGCTGAAATAACAGATGAAATAAAGGTCTGGTCAGGTGCAAGTATGGCAAGAGCTTCAAATATAGCTACACTGTAGAGATAGAGGAAGATGGCAAGCTTTAGTGTAGGCCACAGCAGTGCCTACAGGCATCATCTAACAACGAGAGAGAGAGAGAGAGAGAGAGAGAGAGAGAGAGAGTGTGTATACATTTAAATAAAAGGACAATCAGCCATGTTAGCATAGCCATAGTGTAACTTAAAAATTGCTTTTATATACTGTGTCAATACTCTTGTGACATATTAAAATGCCTTGGTATTTATATTCCTTTCAGTCCCGTGAATATTTTCACTTTTTCTCTGTGAAATGTCATGTTGCACTTTGTGTTAGCAGCTGTACAATTTTTGTCTGACTTTTAGAATGCCATATTTTCCCAAGACTTTGCTGCAGCTATATCTGATACAGGCTGTTGGGTATTAAAAGGTGTCCTGTATTGATTTAAGGGACTATACCATCACACTATAATAATAATAGATGTATATAGACACACTATGAACATAACTGACAAAGAAAGCGGACAAAATATACAGTTCCTCGGGTAATCAAAGGAACATCCCTTCACTGCTAATATGTAAAAAGGTGAATATGCATGTGACACCTGTTCTACACATTTTTACATAATAGCAGTGAAGGGATGTTCCTCTGTCTACCTGAGGAACTGTATATTTTGTCCGCTTTCTTTGTCAGTCATGTTCATAGTGACAGCATAGCTTCTATATAAATACACTCCACTGTGCCTTGATCACACCCTGTGCCTTTAACATGCCTTATGACGTGCCTATACACTGTGCCTTATAACGGGTGTGCGCCTGTAATCCAGCTAACAATGGAAGTTACAAACTGATTCAGCCGAGGACGCAGATTCAAAACTGAGTCGCGTCTTTCAGATGGTGACGTTAAAAGTCGGTCCCTAGACGTAAATAATCGTATCTGATTGATACACGTCTGTAAAAACCCAATTACACACACACACACACACACTTATACAAAGTTTTATGACATTACCCCAGCCTCAGATCGGCTAGCAGAGCCACCATGCCAAGGTGCTATTAAAAGCATTATTAAACACCATGCAACTTTAATCATTGGGTGTATTTTGGACATTTTTGAATGATTAATAGCATTATTAGACACCATGCAACTTTAATTATTGGATGTATTTGGGACCTTTTGAATGATTAAAAGCATTATTTAACACCATGCAACCTTAATTATTGGGTGTACTTTGGACCTTTTTGAATGATAAAGCACCATGTCATGATATAAACAAGCTACTATTCTGCATTCCAGGTCTTACAAGACGACGGAACCTACACGCCCTGGAAGCTAACCATCGTGGATGAGAACAACAGTCGCGGTCCCGCCCCCATGTGCTGTCAGAGAGTGTTGGAATCTCGTTCCTGTCACTTTTTCATCCTGGGTATGGTGGCCATTGATGCAGTCTTGGCATCGACCTACAACATGTTCTATCCGGATAACGAAGACCTCAAGAACAGATATCATAAGGGGCTCTATATAGCACAGGTATCATTATATCAGGATTGGCTTTGAATCGTGTAATTAGCACTCACCCATTGTTTTTTTGTATTCATTTGTATATATATATATAAATCTGTGTGGATCTATTGCCCACAGATAGTCTTCAATATTTGCCATTCAGACAGCAGAAAGGTCGCTTTTATTGTTCAATTTTGGTATTTCCTTTTGGAAATGAAAAAGTTAGGTATTTGACAATTTTGAAAAGAAGAAGTTGTTTAATTCATTTTGATGCATGTTTCACCCCCTTTTACTTTACCTCCAACCTTAAAATTAACCTGGTTGCAAATAACAGTAAACAATATGTGATGTGTCAAGCAAACAGCTGTTACTCAGCAAATCAAAGTTAGGATACGTGTACATATGGCTGTAGAAATCATTGAAATCAACTTTAAATTTGAATTCAATCAATTTACATTTTGCAAGGTTTAGGGATGTGATTTTTAAAAAATTTTAAAAATTGTTTTGTTGAAGCCATTTCAACATGTTGTAGGGCCTTCTTGATATTCTACAAGCTCTCATATAATAATGATATTAATAATATTGTAAATATAGAGAGCGCACACACCATCCAGGGACGCTCATGGCGCTAGCTTAGCAACAGTTCTCTTTGATATGAGTAAAGTAAATGTTTATTTGATAATAGAGTTATACCATCTATATGTACATTATGACTTTCAGGTTGGATTCACTTTGCTGTTTGACGTTGAGGTCCTGTTCAAGGTTTGGTGTCTTGGTTTCCGTGGTTACTTCAAGAGGTCTCTTCATAAGTTTGAGCTCTGTCTTGCCATCGGGAACTCTATCCGCATCATGGATCCTGAGAGACTATACTCCTCTCAGCTGGCTTATTTTCAGGTTAGACTAAGTTTTATAAATAAAAACATTCGGTAATAAAATCATGAAAAATAATTTATATATAAAAGATACTTTTAAAGTAACTATACATTTTTCATGTATTTACATATTTCTAGTACCGGGTATACTAAAGTATGTGAACAAAAAAGAGAAGTAATCTCATGTCTTCTGCAAGAAGATACTGCTGATTTAATTAATACCTGACATATACCAATTTTAAATGAAGGTAAATTTGAGTATATTGTCAGTAGCATAGGATTGTTAAATTTCCTTTCATAGAAAAATTAATCAAGTTTGTGATCATGGCTTCTTCTATTAAAGTCAATCTGTTTCAATCTAAACTCTATACATGAGAGATTCATGGGCAATTCCAAGTTGTCATATGATTGAAGGCCTTTTATTGATTCGCATAAGTAAGTGGACTTATCTGCAATTAATTCTTTTCTCTTTTCTTTTTCATTCTTTTTCCCGTTTCCTGTATATTTTGCCAGGTTATGCGCTGTTTCCGTCTCATAAAGCTGTCACCTACTCTTGAAGACTTCAGCAGAAAGGTAAATTAATTGTTACACTAATTTCATTTCATGCCTTCACTGCCGGTATAATGGAAGAATTAGGTCTTTTTGATGAAGATTGAGTATTTGTTTGTTGGAGGCTATTCATTTGACTGTTTTGTATATCCCTCTTTTCACATACCGTAATCCTTTATAGGGAATATCTAAAGTAAAGAAAGAGGGAAATTATTTTGGTACTACAGTCGAAACCTGGTTTAGTGACCACCTGTATAGAAAGACCACCTGTCTACAAAGACCACATTTTTTGTTTACCTTGAAAATGGTTTCTTATTGAAACATGTACAAATAATAAAGGAACCTGAACATTAAGACCACCTGCCTATGAAGACCACTTTTCTTGTCTCCCTTGGGTGGTCTTTATAGATAGGTCTCACCATTATTATGATGTTACAGGATATTATTGAAATGCGAGTTATTGTGTCTAATGTAATTATGTGGAGTCAGGTAAACGTGATGAGTTCCATTTTATTTGTATCTTATGAAGCGCTTTGAAACGTAGAATCAATCGCTTTACAAATGTGACTATTATTAATTTGATGTAGATCTTTGGACCATTCATCAAGTTAGGAACCCTCATCCTGTTCACAATGAGTTCACTCATCTTAGTCTCCGTCATCAGTCTGCAACTCTTCTGCTACGTCGAGGATCTCAAACAGTTTGATACATTCCCTACGGTAAGCATACCATGCTCCAGTCACATACCAATATTCATCATGGTCAGGATAATATGATGCATTTCATAAAATACTGGGATATTATGTAGACAATATCCTTATATGCTATTCACCTATTATTTTCATATCATTTCTATCAGTAACCAAAATTATTTCAAAGTTGCAAAATTATGTAAACAATATCTCTATCATATGCTATTATCACCTTGTATTTTCATATAATTTAAATCAGTAACCTAAACTATTTCAAAGTTTTGTACATGTATCATTGATCTGTCCTTGAATAACAAGAGCAAGAAACGACCAAATGGCATTTCTTTGACAAGACATATTTTCAAGGTTTTTTATTTTTTCGGTAACAATGTATTTCATATTTAGTATTTAAATGCAAAGCTCTCAACTACTTCGAAGATCAGCTGCTGGACTGTATACATGTATGTAACATTTGCCAAGGCATATACCTAAATGCATATCTACATGTATGACTTTACAGGTATTAGTATGAACTGCATGATGAATACATGTCCTCTTATCGTAAGGTGACCCTGGATAAATTTTGTGAATTATTTACAGGCCTATGAAGAATACAGTATATAAATCCCATATTCACAATTTCATCAACTATTGTTTCATTTGAATTGTGATAAAAAGCTGATTGCTATATCACTAGTTGGAGCATATTTGAATTTTAACTTCTTAAAGCTACATGTAATTATATGGTTATTGATTTTAGGAAAAAATATGCTCTATTTGGGTTTCATGATGGAAAAATAGGTACTACCCCCTACCCTTCGGACAGCTTCTTCCCTCTTTCCTGCTTTGAGATAATATTGCAATGTTGGTTGTCACCTTAGGGGTAGTTTTGATGCAGTGATAGTGACAGGAAGGGGAGGTGACTGGGGGTAGTCATCTGGGGTACTTAATGTATCCTGGGGTAGTCATCTGGGGTAGTCATCTGGGTAGTCATCCTGAGGGTAGTCATCTGGGTCAGTCATCTGAGGGTAGTCATCCTGGGGTAGTCATCCTGGGGGTAGTCATCTGGGGTAGTCATCCTGGGGGTAGTCATCTGGGGTCAGTCATCTGGGGTAGTCATACTGGGGGTAGTCATACTGGGGGTAGTCATCTGGGTCAGTCATCTGGGGTAGTCATCTGGGTCAGACATCTGGGGCAGTCATCCTGGGGGTAGTCATCTGGTCAGTCATCTGGGGTAGTCATCATGGGGGTAGTCATCTGAGAGGAATGGTATTAGTCCAGAGTGTAGTTGTCATACGATCAGAGTCATATGTAAAAGGATGGAATCTCACATCCTTGTGCCAAGAGCCATTCAAGTTTTTCCAAGTATTTTTATAATGCTGACATTCATCTACACCAATTTGGTGGAATCTTTGTCAAGTCCATTATCTTACCATGAGATAATGTGGACCCGATCATATAAAATCTTGATAAAAGGGCCTGCTTGTAGCTGAGAGCATCATGTGACCCAGGCAGTGTTTTAAAACCGTCATAAGTACAAGTTTGCCAACAACCCATTGTAATGCGTATATTAAATTCAACACGTGTATCAATGGGATGTCGGCAAACTTGCACTTATGACGGTTACGCGAAACCGATGCCCTGGCAACCAACAAGCGGCCATGTGTTGGTCACAAGGCATTTCAAGATTTGAAAGGGAGGGGTATGTCAAAATAAACCCCTCCCTTCTGTTGAAATGTTGAAATATTTTAGTCCAAATCTCATATTCTTATAATTTAATTTTTGTTTTATATGATATCAGTTATATAGTCATAATCTTTCATTTCAAATGAATAACATATTTTGAACAATGAATGAAGGTTTTGATGTGCACATCAAGAGAGAGAGAGAGAGAGAGAGTCGGCGTGAAATCAGCTTACCTTCTACGATCCTTTTGTAGGCGGTCATGTCCGTGTTTCAAATCTTGACCCAGGAGGGTTGGATCGAGGTGGTTGATGAGTGTTTCCTGGCTTGCAAGGAGGAACTCTCCTCTCTCGTCGCGTTGTATTTTGTTACCATTCACGTCTTCTCCTCCTCGGTAAGCCCAGCCACTAACCCACCAACATCCAAGTCCTCTCTTCATTGCAACCAACGGCACGCAGTACTGACTTGATTGATAGTGTGATCCGTTTGCCAACTGACTCGCAGTGTTATGGTTAACTCTTTTTCTCTTTCCCTTTCCGGTCGTTTTCACCTTAAAGAATGACTGCAATTGGATTGAATGCAAACGTTCTGTTTTGGGGAAATCTTTCATCTATTTTTTCCCTTTTTTAAGTAAATGACAAAATTGCTCATAATTTCGAGGAATCTCACAACTTTTTTTTTGTTCTTCTATTAAAAATTCATATTTTTGGTACTGGCTCTATCGATACAAAATTAAACCAAATGTATGAAGTGATCATGTAAAAAGGGTGTTCCCAAAACACTGGAACGTGTGTATTGAATCCATGCTCCTCTAATTCTGTCCTCAAAAGCTTTAGATTGGATTGTATTAATTGTGGGTTACATTCTGTCAATATGACATTGCATGCTAACAATCAGTATGATCCAAAATCATGAATGAAGTTTATAAGAAAATATACAAAATGACAGAAATTGTCCTGAATTCTTTATCCTTTCAAAATGGAAAAGTGAAATTTGGCATGCCGTCTCTTAAAATATTCTTCTATTTTCTAGACTGTTTGTGGCATGCAAAAGTTTTGAATGCGGCAGTGTTCATTTCTCAGATTTTCAGGGTTTTTTAAAACCAAAATTGCAAATTATTGGTATACACAAACTTCAACAATGCCCAAATTAGAAAAAATTACAAGAATTGATCTTTCGGATACTTTGAATTTTGACATGCATTGTCATACATACATGTACTGCAAGAGGCTAGACTAGGCAGAGCTAGGCTAGGATAGGTACATAACCCCTGATAGTAGATGCATTCTGGAGACGAGGCATAACATCTGAAATTCCAGAGAAGCTCGACTTAACACCTAATATTAGTTCACAGAAGAACACTTCTGCAGGGCATCTAAACAACAGAACACATACTTACCATCCTTTGTTTCAATTTCTTCCCCAACTGTGTTTATCTCTCTCTTTTTGTCCGGCTTCTTCTGTATTGTGTTAACATCTTTCTTTCTCCTTGTGTTAACGTGAATCTCTTGTAACATTTTCTGGTCCCTCGTCTTATCTTTATCATCCACACACTTCCATTTCCTTTTTGGTTTTCATTCACACCCCCCCCCCCTCTCTCATTGTTTTTTAATTTTTATTTATCCCTGTCTCCCTCTCTGAATAACATTCAATCTCTATTTAAAAAAAACATCTTCTAAACATCCCCTTTTACTTCCACATCACTCTAATTCCAATTTGGTTAACATCACATCTACCATTGTCCCTTTTTATTTCCTATCCCTGAACCTCTTTGTTTTGTTGTTGATGTTATTCCTGATGCCTATCTTTCCATCCGTTTACACCCTTCTTTATCTTCCTCTCATTTCATCCATGATTCTTCCCTTTCTTCTCGTCATGTGTATCTTTCTCTGTCTTTCTCTACAACTGCCTTTCTGTCACTCTCTCTTGCCCTCTTCATCTTCCTCTCAATTTATCTGTGATTCTTCTCTTTTTTCTCGTCATCTTGTATGAGTGTCTTTCTGTCTCTCTCTCTCTCTTTCTCTCTCGAACTGCCTGGCTGTCTGTCTCTCTGTCATTCTCTGTTGCTTCTTCATCTTCCTCTCAATTTATCTGTGATTCTTCCCTTTCTTCTCATCATCTTGTACTTGTATCTTTCCTGTCTCTCTCTCTCCAACTTTCTGTCTGTATGTCTGTCTGTCTGTCTGTCTGTCTGCCTGTCACTCTGTCACTCTCTGTTGCCCTCTTTATATTCCTCATCAATCTATCTACGATTCTTCCCTTTCTTCTTGTCATCTTGTATGTGTATTGTTTCCATCTCTCTCTACAACTGTCTGTCCGTCTCTCTCCCTCCTCTCTCTCTTACTCTCTGTTGTAACCCTCTGATGACTGCATGGACAGGCCTTCATGTCCATGTTCCAAATCCTGACTCAAAAGGGTTGGGCTATCGTCATGTATGAGTGTATGCTGGCGGCAGACAACAACGCATTGGCCCCTGTTATTGCCATCTACTTCATTGCATACCATCTGTTTGCTACTGTGGTAAATATTTTTCTATCACTCTCTTTTTTACTTGTCTTGTGAATGCGCCCGAAAGAGGCTCAAACCCCAGGGTGCCTTAATTGGTCAAATTGAACGATATGCGCTTTAATTTAGTCACTCCTTCTCCATCTACTTTTATCATCGTGTAGCATGTTTACTCATAACAGTGTATTGATTTCTTGTTGTGTTTGTAGCTGACTTGCATGTTTTGATATTGCCGTACAATTTCTTGTTGCATGCTGACTACAAAATGCTTTTATTCTTAGAACAATTTTTGAAATGTTTGTGGAAATGTATTGGTTCTAGGGCAAGTGCATTGATTGAGTCCAATCTACTTAGGTCAAATGCACAATTTTCTTTCTTTTTGCTAGTTTGAAAATGTGATAGAACTTGATTCAGCATTGCTGTCCTGCATGGGAAGCCCACTGCATGCTTCTGATTGCAATATATGTTTAATATACCATTAGGTTATGTAATAGCAGCAATGTGTGTCTCATAATCTCCTCCTGAAATTTAACAGTAGGGTATGCTTATCCTGGGCTAACTCGAACTCTACTAAAGGGAATCACAAACCTGCTAATCATTAGCGTGATAGGTTTGATGAATTATAGAGTATATTATTCTGAATTAGTTCTTGATACACTCAAACACACCCCCACACATATTTTATGGCCTTGCTTTACCAAAAACTACACTCATCTTGAAATGTTAATAATGAATATGAAAACATATCATAAATACTGAGCTCATACTTTGCATGATAATGTACACTTTCTTAACTAATATGATGAAGAAACATACTCAAAATTCCTGTTGACATTTGAAAAAACTATTTTTGACCAAACCTGCTCAAAGCTAGTGACTATAAAATACATTGTAACACTTGCTTTTATTTAACACTAACACTTTTTATCACAAATCAGGGTGACTTGATCCATTCTTTTTCCTGATGAAGAAAAACAAATTAAATCATATATTTCACCCTTGCAACATTAAATGGAATCCATACATTCCATCACACAATTTTGGTCCTGTTGATTATAGTCAAGAGCTTGAAATTCACAGATGAATGAGTGCCAAGTTTCAAGGAAATTTCCTTTCTTTTTGGGCTTTACTTTGCAACTAACAAATCTCACGAAAAAATACTGATCACTTTATACCAACTACATTGTTTTTGGTTCTTTTCTACTGACAAAATACACCAAGGTTTGGAATTAATCAAAACTTGTCAATAATATTAACATATAAAGCTTTTTGTTAATGTAAAAACATATTTACTGATGTAATATAAAACATTTGAATTGAAACATTTTGGTGTGCAGAACTGAAGGTGTCAGATTTTAAATTGGCAGATGAGAAATGAATGAAAAATAGACACAAAATCCGGATAGAAATAACATATATAACACAAATTTCATGATCATTGATTTAGGTTTGGAACAATGATAAATATATCAACAGCCTTCTTATAACGAACTACAATGTCAAAACATGAGGGATTCTGTTGAGAAGGGAGCAATAAACTTTTAGTCCTGGAACAAAAAGAAATGAAAAATACAGATCAACAATCTTCCAGTCCCTTGAATCTTGCAACAATGCTCTCCCTAATGTATATTCTGTAAAACTGAATATTCATCCTTCCTGCCATTAAAAACAAAATTGAGCTTTATCTGAATAACCTACTAAGCTAACTAAATCTAAACCAGCCTTAACCCAAAAGTAATATTCACTTTAATATTCACTCAAAATTAGATGGAGAATGGGTGTGTGCAAGGCACATTTTGCTTTAGGTATTACGCCTAAATTGTTTTCATTTTGTTAATCATATGAAGAATAAAATATTTTGTTATAAAATGGACTAATTGTAAAGAAAATTGTATTTAATAGGTACCTACACCTCTTGAAACCCTGAAAATGTTATTGAGGAAATCATTTGACCTGCTTTGACAAATTTTCGTCCTTGGAAGAATTCGCAGAGGAATTTTTTGTTTTATTTCTTTTCATGTAGATCCCTTGCCCCTACTTTCTCCCTCTTCTTTTGTTTTATTTGGTATTTGTTCTCCACTAATATGCACACAGAAGCACAGCTAGGTCATGCTGCACATTACACTGCACTTCATTGAGGTTTAGGTCAGCGCCCCGTTTCACAAAGTCTTTTTTCAATGACAAATGTCAAAACCAGTGACAAATCTGCTGATAACCAATCAGAAGCAAGGATTTCACTAGCTTTTTCTTTTGTCACTGATGACAAGTTTTTGTGAAATGGGGCCCAAAACGCTGCTATTTGCCATTAATTCACTCAAATATTTGAGGATTTCATTACACACATCACATACACATGTATTGCACTGATGTCAAGTTAAGTATTTTGTACAAAGAGGGATACTATTTGAAAGAGTTTACATTGATGAATGATGAAAAAACAATAACACAAGTATTTAGTCATACGATGGAAACAAATTCAACACTAAACATTGTTCTTCTATTCAGTGAAAGCATAATTCAAATATAATTGTTTCAATATCCCATCGCTGCCACCATGTTTCAATATCCCACCGCTGCCACCATGTTTCAATATCCCACCGCTGCCACCATGTTTCAATATCGTTTTAGTGTCACAAACAAAAGATAGTTCACACAGCTCTTGTGTAGTTTAAGAAAGTAATTTATTACCAGTGAGGTTGTATACTGCCCTCTTTTGATATCAGTATTATAGGTATTTCTTTTCTTAAATCTCATAAACAATATTGTCACAATAATATAGAGAAGGAACTGAATTGAACAAGGGGTACGTGTTGACTACCCAAGTGAATACACACTCTGGATTAGAACGGTGTCCCCGTTGACGCAATTGAAAAGGCCTTAATATGTTATTGTAGATACTGCATGGCAACACAAGCACTATCATCTATGTTAGATTAAGATTTGTTCTTTAAAATAAAAGACTAAATGTACACTTGATTAAAACACAAACACTATACACACGAGCATTGCTCTTATGAACAAACAAATTTGCTTTTGAGGTCATAAGGATCATATTGTTGTAGACTTACAGCTGAATCATATTGCCCTTTATTCAATAGAGAATTATTAGATTTGACATTTACCTGCCGAGCACTCCCACTGGGCTGGTACACATTCTTTGCATGCCACAGTGTCTTTTTACTTTACACTGCCAAATTCAAATATAATATCGCTTGCAGTGATGTGAAAATTAAGTAAATTCTTGCACATTATATATGATTTCTAAATAATATACTGGCTCAAATAGTTGGCAGTTTAATACTATGCCTATCCGTTGTCATGTGTGTTTTGTGGAGTACATACACATTTTGTGTGTTTGTTATTCTGTTGTTTTGTAATTGTTTACAAACCATTTTTGCAAAAATGACCATGGCTTTTATTTGGTAGTTGTTAGGTTATCACACCATAGAATAGTTCATAGGAAATTGGATTAAGAACTTTTGCTGCTTGCAATCTTTTAGCGATAAATTTGATCAATAATGCAGGAAATACATGGGTACATATTTATTCCTCAAAGGAAATTTAAAAAAAATATATAGAAGATCATGCATACAATCCAAAAGTTAACCTTACTTCAATGTTCTGATAGCACCATATACATTAAGACGCTCCATTATTTTAGATGTTAGGAAATAGCTGTATGTTTCAGATTATGATGTAAATGATCGGTCCAGATAGTATATTACAGTTGATCATGGAGACACACTTACTGATTTCATTTAGAGCATGTATGCTGTAGTAGTAGGCTAAAAATCGAGCAAGAAACGAGGGAATTACTGCATGGGACAAAGAAATGGAAAGACATGCATGCATGGACGTTAAGCATCTCATCTTTCAGTCATTTTTCTTTGAAATTGGATGTAAATTTGTTTTGAAACTGTTCATTTCATCACCTCCCTGTTGCTGCCAGCTAGCATTAGTACATGTACATTGGGATTTAATAGCTAGTGTACTCAGAATTTCTTTTCTCTGAATATAAACACCATATCTCATTTAAAGTGATCACATTTTCAAAGCCAAGCAATATTGAGCATTATAATAAATGCTTTATAATCTTTTACTTGTGAAGTTGGCTAGTTGCCTCTATTCATGTTTTCAATTCTTTAAAATGTATTTATTTTTTATGTTTAAAAAATGAATAATCATGTAAGATGTTTAATAAGCAAAAATTTGGATGCATTGAAGTCATCACATCGCTGTCTCCCTTTCATTTCTATCTTTATGCTAAATTTAAAAAGAAGTGATTTTCCCATCATTTTCCTGTTGTGTGTTTCTGTTGAAATTATAGTGTTCTATTGACATAAAAGAAATCCTTGAAATTGAGAAATTGTAATAAGAAAATGATTGATTGATTGAAGAAAAAAAATTGTTTCAGGAAATTAAATTAGTCATTTAATTTTGAAGAACGTTGCTGTTTTTGTTCCTGTTTGTTTAGTGTTTATGTTTTGTGTTCACAAGTGTTTACTGCCTTTTATAGTACTTTTTGTTTCCATTGAGTAAAAAAAAGGGTGCATCATAACCATTCCTCATCACATGAAAGTCCAAACAATATCAAATAAATATCACTTAGTGAATTAAAACGTGATTAATTAGTTGTACTAGATCCTGTGTTAGTAGGAACTGGTGCCGAGAGGTTACCCTACTAGTGGCAAGGTTTAAACAAAGACTACATGATATTTACTCAAGGAATTCCCCATTATTCAACTTACATGATCTAAAGGATCTATAATCTGTCCTTTCAAACAATGTTATTGATTTGAATGTTCTCCCTTCCTTTATATCATCCTTTGTTGTAAGATTTCACAATTTATAAGGAAGATGGATAATGATAGAATTCCTCTGAAACCTGAATCTGATTAGTATTCTGTAAAGGCGCCTATTAAGAAACTATTATTATTAATATTATTATTATTATTATTGTTATTATTATCATTATTAATAATTATTATAAACACAAATGAATGGACATGAGGGAAAAAAGCTAAACATGGTTTGATGCATAACTGTTTTGTTATATGTAACTTACATGTCTGATATTTCAAATAATTTGTGATATATATGCAGTTATGATCTACTCATCATTATTTTGTATTCAATGATTTGTTTTGTATATCATATTTAAGTAATAGCATGCAGTAGCAGTAGTGTATTGCAGCATTTATTCAAGTTTTGAATTTGTACTTGCCTGGAGCTCATCTACATTGGGGGGGGGGGGGGGGGGGTGTTTCACAAAGATCCTAAGTTGAACTTATCTCTAAGTTGGACTTAACAATTATGGAAAGCCATTAGCATCTTTGAACATATTTTGTAAAAGTAATTTTCAAAGGCATAACATGTCAAAAAACATGATTCAAAACATTCATATTTTATTTTATCAAGGAAATTTTATGTTCTTGATGTGGAATTTATAAAAAGTCTAAAATACTTGAATTTTTGCTTTGACTTTGACTTAGGATCTTTGTGAAACACCCCCCTGAACTGATTTTTTTTTCTTCTTCAAGAAGATGGAAAGAAAGAAAAAAAATGGAAGTAGATACTTTAGTCTGAATTTTGGAGACCTTTTCCCCTTTTGCTTTTATCATCTTGTCATCTTGTGTGCACATCATTCCTAATTTAAATTATCTGATGAGTGCCATTACAGGACATTCACTTTCATTTTCCTACCATTTGAGCATGCTTTAGTTTGAGAGTATGGTATTGTATGCAGTGCTTGCAAACTTAGAGTGATTTTGTGTCAATTTACTGTATTTATCATGGGCTATTGATTATGATATCATTTTGGACTTCAAAGGTAATATGAAGATTTTTTTTATATTAAAGACTTGGTTCTTCAGCTTAATATTGAAAGATATATATATATATATATATATATATATATATATATTGTGATAGCACTATGATAGTGAATTCATTGTGATTCATTAGGACAAGGAGATGAGCAGAAAAGAGCCTTTTGCCTTTTATCTCTTGTTGAAGTATGAGAAGAGGTTTTTACTGAGCATCCTTACTGGGCTTCCTTTAGACTGAAATATCACCACCTTTTGTTTCTGCTAAAGTATTCTTTAAATTAATAAAAATGGATTCACAGTGAACTATTGGTTCTATATCTGTGAATCATCTTATTTTTCATACGTCTTAATATAAAAACATATTTAAACCATTTCTGGATTATTATGATGAAGATCACGATTTCACTTTCTTTAAGTTGCACATAAAACTAAAACTATAGCTCAGCAATCGTTAAAAACAAAAAAAGATTTGAAGAACACTTTATAAAACCAGAAAACAGAAAAAGTGAAATGAGACAATCGATTATGTACTATGATTTGATCTTAATGTTGTATACACCCTCTAGATTGTGCTCAGTTTGTTCGTTGCTGTCATCTTGGACAACTTGGAGCTCGGAGAAGACTTCAAAGGAATGAAACAGATGAAAGCATCAGAAAAAAATACAGCGGCTAAGGTCTTGCCGCGGAGGCTCAGGGTATTTCAAAAGTTCCCGTAAGTATAAGGTTTATAGCTTTTTATGCCTCCGTTACGAAGTAGCCGGAGGCATTATGTTTTCGGGTTGTCCGTACGTACGTCCCGTTCTCGTGATCGCGTTATCTCAAGAACCGATGGATGGATTCCTGCCAAACTTAAACCATGTATATATCTGGCAGAGCTAATGAACTGATAAGATTTTGGGGTCACAGGGTCAAAGGTTATGGCTCATTATGTATTAAAAAATAGCTTATGATCACATTATCATTAGAACCAATGGACAGATTAGCATCAAACTCAATACATGTATTTATCTTGCAGAGCCAATGAACTGAGTAGATTTTGGGGTCATGAGGCCAAAGGTCAAAGGTCATGGGCTCATTATGTATGCAAAAATAGCTTGTGAACGCCTTCTTATTAGTACTGACGAATGGATTACTATCAAACTTAAATTTGAAAAATTACTCTATGGCGGAGGCATCATTTTCGACTGCGCGCAGCCGAACATCCATCTAGTTCTTGATCTACCTCCTCTCGTTTGTGGATCTTGTATTTTGTTGAGAGTGAGGCACGATGTCTTAGTGGTCTCGTAACCAGGAGGTCCCGGGTTAGAAACCAATTAATCCTCATTACCAATTTCCTTAGAGAGTACTTATAAATTACTGTTACAGTTGGTCCCTTGGTTGCTTACAAGCATGCACTAATTTTTTTTTAGCAGTCAGATAATTTTGTTATTTTTTAATTTAATAGAATTTCTTTAAATGGGAGCTTTCCTCTTATAACATTGAATATATTGTTAGAGGGGAGAGAGCTTTTCCCCCCTTTTCTACATGTATCTTTGTACTACGTATATATTCTCATCATAATGCATGATATTATAACTTAAACGTGATCCTGTATATTACATAGATCTTCTCATTTTCCTTCTCTTTATGTTGCTAATTTGCAGTGATAAGCCTCAGATGGTCATGCTCTCCAAGATCCCTTCAGAGTTTACATTACCGAAGATACGGTGAGTATGTTTATATTGGTTAAAGCCGTATTGGTCATATTTCTATGTAGTTAGAAAATATGTGACTGTGTGTTCCTAGGAGAATTTTCTTATATTAAAGACAATCAAAGAGAAGAGAAAATAATGTCTAGAAGTATACATATTTCAATGTGAATATCTACTTTTCATTAATATACTGTATTGCAATTTACATGACACCTGATAAATTGAATGGCAAGTAACTTTTTTTTGTGTGTGTGTGTGTGTGTGTGTGGGGGGGGGGGTCTGAAAAAATATGCAGTAATATGGGATATTTCTCATGAGTATGGGTTATTTCTTAATTAAGGGCTATGCTTGACTGCACTGTCATGGTGTATTTAAAGCTTAATATCCTAAAACTAATATAGGTTTTTGAGTGTCCAAATTTGTATAATGCTTTAAGTTTGACTATAATCCCATCTTATAACTTTCTTTTTATGCTTGTTATGATTACACTGTAGGTTTAGTGTTTGAATTATTAGGCCCTAGTTTGAATATTGGGAATACTTTCTTACTTTCTTGAAATCTACAGAGATAGCTTCATACGACAATTTGTAGAGACAGGAACGGACATGGAACGCTTGCTGAAAAGATCTGCTAACAGAGAGAGCAGTGGTACCTTATTAGCTTTAGCACTTCCTCCAGCCACATACGCCTGCCCGACATCACCGCTATACCTGATGAGCAGAAGACTACCAGCGTTCACGACACAGATACAAGGAAAGCTACAGAAGAAGACAGGTGTTAACTGTATTGTCAGGTTAGCGCCTTAGGATTGATTGTTTATACAAGATGAATTCACATTGCCAAACCAAAAATTATTGAAATCTTGGACAGACGTCTCATTTTTTGGTTTATTGTAATTGTGTATTTCAATTGAAATTCGGTCTTATTCTCTCTCTCTGTGTCTATCTGTCTGTCTCTCTCTCTCTCTCTCTCTCTCTCTCTCGCTGTCTCTCTCTCTCTCTGTCTGTCTGTCTGTCTCTCTCTTCTGTCACTTATTCTACCTGGTCCCATATTTGAGAAGTATTGTACAGTTTTGTTTTGTCTTTGCATTGCCAGGTACCTCCTGATAAGCAGTGCCAGAAATTGTACTAAAGAAGAGTACTCTTGTAAGATCAAAATAATTCAGATCAATATTAAAGGAAAATTCAACTTGAAATATGAAAAGTGGACTGTATTCAACCGTGATTTACCAAAGATGGACCTCGAGTCAGCTTAGCCTCATTCTAAACAAGTTAATAAAGTCTTAAATGATAAAGTCTGTTACTGATATTTTAAGCCAAATACCATTGTTGATATTTTTTAAATTTTTGCTGCAGAGATTCAGCTCACCAGCGAGTCGTTAGCCTCGGCTTCAGTGCAGTGGGCGTCCGGGGCCGGATGCTGAGTGAATACGGGAGCCGTGATAGGCGCTTGCGGTATTCTACCAAGTATTTATCCCCTTCTTCCTATAAACCTTCCATTGGTTGCCTCAGGCTGTCCTGTTTGGTGTTCTATACGTGATGACCTTTGACAGGTCACACACACACACGGATGCATGTTACCACGGAAACGACCTCAACCCCATGGATTCCTAGTGGGACTAGAGGTCTTTTTACGCATGATGCACGATCGTCCTATAGATAGATCAATGTAAGCATGATGTTCAATGTGCATGTTACGTAATATGCTGCTTAGTCTAAAAATAGACTGTATATATTAGGTAATACACTTTATTCATTCCTTTTTTTAGTTATCTTATTTATTATTTTTCAAAGAATAGATGGATATAAACTTTCTGCCATTTTCACTGTTCTTTTTTTATAAAACTATAAAATTACAGATTTGTTAAGCACTCATATAATTATATAATATTGACTGGCCTTGAGGGGTATATCAGAAATATTGACCAAGCTCAGATCATATTGCCCCGAGTCGAAAGACGAGGGCAATATGGTCTTAGCGCGGTCAATATTTCTGATATCCCCCGAAAGTAAAGCCAGTCAATATTTGTATTGTTATCCAAATCAGACATCTAGAGCAAATACAGAAATCCACCATGACAATCTCAAGAACTGAACAAACTTTGTCAAACCAGCACTGTGCATCCCGCGGCTTGACACAATTTTCGTTACACTGCAAACAGTGTGCATTTGGTGTGATTATTACGTCACAATAGAGTGCGCGCAAAGTGCACAGGTTCTCGTACGCATAATAGATGCGCAATGAAAATGACAAAATACGGCGCGGTCAATACAAGATGCCCGGATGCGAGACCGTGGAAAATACCAAGGTATATTTTCACTCCTCTCTATACGCAAAGTCAATACGCGCAAGGAGACCAAGGAAAATACAAAGAATATACCCCTCCGTTCCCACTGCTAGTGAAAACTAGGGCAATACGGTTTTGTAAATGACCAGCTCGGATGTCTGATACGGGTAATAATAGCAAATATTCCCTAAAGTAACTTCAAGCTTGGTTAACATTGTCTTCATTGTTATTTGGAATTAGAAATTTATTTCTGGAATTGAATGTCCAAAATTGATACAAAATCTTAAAACACACAGGAGATTGTTCAGATGGTTTGATGTCTGTAAAACATGAGAAATTAATGTGATACAAACACCATTAAATCTCATAGCAAAATTTTCTTGAATTTGGTTGGACGTTGTCTTCATCAGAAATACCTTGCAAATTCATGAGTTGAATATTACTTGCTGCAAGAGCAAAAATGCACATATATATGAGGAAAACATAGTTATATGTATTCCATCTTACTCACTACTACATGCACACCAACAAAAAAGTAACCCTATCAATAGTTTGCATTTACTTAAGTTCTCACTTTCATGTAGATTTTATTCCATTCTCATTTTTTCTTTTTTACATTATTCTCCAATATGTAAATATGTGTCCTATCATCTCACATTCATATTTTCCCTCCCAAGAGTAATCACGCTTGGTTCCTACTCATTTCATTCTATTTTATTATTTTTCATTCTATCCTTGTACAAAGATGTGATTCATTTCACCATTCCTCTGAACCTCCCATTTGCAATATTCAGTACAGATTTTTATTTCATACTTAATAATAAACACAATTTATGACGTGTAAGATGATGGGAATTTTTGCTAAGGTACAATTCTATGCAATGAGTCAATTAAACAAATATATGACCCAGTTGTTTGATTGCAGCAATTACATGTATTTTAATTAGACTTTATTAGAAAACCATTAGTACATTGGTTAACTACCCAAATTACAGCATAGCTGTTCTGAAAGGCTAAAGCTTTATTTGACATGCATGTTAAAAATTGTTTCGTAAAAATCTGTATCTCCCCACTATAAAATATAAGGGAGTATATTAATAGTTTTACGGTGCAATGAAATATGAAGTTGTACGCTCAAACAGTGAGCCAAAGGATTCCAATCTGCATGAAATATGTGTGTAATGTTTGAAGTGCTGTAGCTTTGATAGAAGTGGCTTTCAAACTATTAAAAGGATAAGGCCCAAATTAATCATCACGCCAGATATTAGTCAATAACAATTCAGAAATGGAATAGGATAACCCAGCTTCTAACCCCTTGTTTTTAATTGTTTTGGAAAGAGTTTCCCATGGTTCATCTCCCTCAGACCTCACTAACTATTAACTAACTTTTACATTTTTGAAAGATTACTGGTAAAACTGTGAGTATAACTTAGATTTAAATACCCATTGTCTCAAGTCCAGGGGTATCCCAAAATTGAAAATGGATTTTTATTTGCAAATTTTGAAAAAGTACAATTTAAAAAGAGTAGCAAATGTGACAAACTATACATTTTTATTTAAGCATGATAAAAAAAAGCACAATATTTTCAAAAGAGCTGGTGTTACTCTATTGTGCAAAAAAGCTTGGGATCATTGTAAATAGAAAATAAAATGAAAAAAATTAAGAATATGAATCATAAATGACATTACCAAAAGTATTTAGTTTAGTATTTTGCTCAAATTTGTTTCAGGAATTTTGATTTGTAGTCTATATCAGAAATGTTTTCCAAACGAGCACCAGATTACAAAATTTATACATAAGAATTTTCAATGTGATTACTGGTATAGAAAGCAAGTTCAGATTTCTATAGAGGGTCTATCATAAGACATGCAGTATAGGGTATTGAGAGGATCTATCATATTTCATATGCACTAAGGGGGTTCTATTGTTTCCATCTTACCGGAATAGGTATTTGAGAAGGTCTATCATTACGAAAAATCCATTATGTTGGTTCTGTAGGGTTCATCTTACTGGTATAGGGTATTGAGAGGGACTAACATAAAAACATATGCATTATTTTGGTTCTGTTTCCATCTTACTGGTATGGGGGTATTGAGAGGGTCTATCATAAGTCATTCATATATGTGGGTTCTGTTGTTTCTATTTAACTGGTATAAGGTATTGAGAGCATTTATTGTAAGCATATGCATTACTTGGGTTCTACAGGGTCCATTTTACTGGTATTGGGTATTGAGAGGGTCTATTATAAGTCATATATGGGTTCTATTGTATCCATTTTACTGGTATAGGGTATTGAGAGGGTCTATCATAATAGACATATTTTTTACTTGGGGTTTTGTTTCCACCTTATGGGTATAGGGTATTGAGAGGGCTATCCTTTTAAAGACATATGCGTTACGTGGGTTCCAATGTTTCCATCTCACTGGTATAGGCATTGCGAGTGTTTATCATAAGACTTATGTGGGTTCTATTTTATCCATGAAACTGGTATACGGAATTGAGAGGTTCTTTTATAAGTCACATGTGGGTTCTATTATATCCATGTCATTGGTATAGGGTATTGAGAGACCTATCATAAGACATATCCATTACATGGGTTCTATTATTTCCATCTTACTAGTATAGGGTATTAAGAGGGTCTATCGTAAGACATAAGCACTACGTCGCTTTTGTTTCCATTTAACTGGTATAAGGTATTGAGAGGGTGTATCAATAGTCATATGTGGGCTCCATTGTATCAATCTTACTGGTATAAGGTATTAAGAGGGTCTATCATAAGACATATGCATTACATGGGTTCTTTCGTTTTCATCTAACTGGTATAAGGTATTGAGATGAACTATCATAAGATATGCATTACATGGGTCATATCGTTTCTACCTTATAGGTATAGGGCATCTAGAGGGTTTATCAAAAGACATTCATTGAGTGGGTCTGTTTCCATCTTACTGGTACAGGGCATTGAGAGGGTCTATCATTGGACATATGCTTTACTTGGGCTCTATTATTTCCATCTTACTGGTACAGGGCATTGAGAGATTCTTTTATAAGTCATATGTGGGTTCTATTATATCTGCTTTACTGGTATAGGGTATTGAGAGGGTCTATCATAAGACATACATGTATGTACTACATGGGTTCTAATGGTTCCACCTTACTGGTATGGGGTATTAGGATTGTCTATCATAAGTTTTATGTGGGTTCTATTGTATCCATCTTACTGGTATCAGGTATTGAGAGGGTCGATCATTAGACATATGCTTTACTTGGGTTCTGCTGTTTCCATCTTACTGGTACAGGGCATTGAGAGGTTCCATCAGGGGGCACAAGCCCATGGAATCCATCAAAGACAACAGTGACATCGCCAACAGGAATGTGTCCTTCAACATCAAGGTCATTCAAGAGAGAAAACAGCAAGCTGTACAGAAAAGGTTTGTAATACCACAGTCAGAATTTTATGATATATCTTCATATTTTAAAGAATATGCACGTATCAGTATGTGTTATACCCTTTAGGAAAATATGATTAATCTGTAAGAGTGATGTACATGTGACAGTGACTGGTCTCAGTTGTTGTGATTGCTGCAGACAAACGAACCAAAAGGTGATTGAATTTTGCCAACACTTACCTCTGGTCTTTGATTCTGGTCCTCAGGTGAAGGTTTGTCATTGAGATAGCTTTATCGCAAATCATGAAATGGCAAGTATAAGGCCATGCCTGATAGCAAATTATAAAATGGCAAGTATTAAAGGCCATGCCTGGAATGTTGGATGGCAATGTTTGTTGATGTTGATGTATAAAAAAACACTTAATCTGGATATCTGAATGACAGTATCGTGACTATTTAGCCTAATAAGCGAGTTCACGGTTGCAGTCTGAGCATGAGCAGACCAAGGTCATTGCAGAACAAATTGTGAAACACACGGAGACGAAATACTGGATACGTGCTCATGAAAGTTATGTAATCGTTATTCATTCTTACACATTCAGTGCACTCCATGATACACAGGTGGAAGTATTTTTTCAAAAGGGGGAAAAAAAAGGCTATATTATGTAGCACCTCCATCGCTGTAGGAGTGATTATTTCACAATGTACAGAGTGGGACCTTTTCATGTTTTGAAGATCTGTGGATATTCGGGGTCATTGCAGTAATGTGCTAACCGTGAAGTGGTCTATTCAGACTATTCAGACAAGCCTCTACATTTTCTGAGCGATCTAAACATTTTCATGCATTTAATGATATTAAATGATTATAATAATAATACGAAAAATTTATATAGCACTTGTGACATAAAAGTTTCAAAGCACTGTACAGAAATCTAGAAAAATCAATGTTACTAATGGAATTAACATACTGAAATTACCAAGAAAATCAAACATTACTAACATTACTAAAGAAATTAACATGACATGTAAATTCCTGGAAAGTTAACATATTGTATTAATGATAGCAACAATCTAATATTCACTTTGATAGGAATGCCAAAGAAGAGGATCTGAGAGAGAACCATCCGTACTTTGATATGCCCCTCTTTGCTGTCGGACGGGAGAGTAAGTTGAGGAAATTCTGTACGGGAATCGTCTATGCTAGATACAACGCGTAAGTTCAACTTTTTATTTACATTGTTAAGAAAGTTCTGAGACCTTCCACGCTTGACGTTTAATACTAAATACTTCCATCAAATTGAATCAAACCAGAAGAAGAATGTATCAAACTCATTCAATGTTACATCTTAAATTTGATACATTGTTTAATTAGATGGACCAACATTTTATTTGTTTACATTTTAGACTAAAAATCAGGTGTACATGTGTAAAATTTTGCCTTTTTAATACTATCAAGATTTTCAAATCTAATAATTAATAAAGTAGCAATTGATTTGGGCTGTAATAATAAGTAGTTGCTTTGTTTTGAAGTGATATGGATTTTTATGTTAAGCCTTGAAGGTATGATTAACTATAAGGCATCTGTGTAATCTAAATGCCTTTAATTATTCTACAACTCTATCTTTCACTATTTATCTTACTTATATCTTTCATCTTGGGCTTTTTTCCTCTTCTCACTTTGCCTCTCTCTCTCTCTCTCTCTCTCTCTCTCTCTCTCTCTTTCCTTTGTCATTCAATCTGTGTCTCATGTTCTCTGTTTCTTTATCTTTTATATGCCTCTCTATCTTTTTCTCTCTCTTCCTCTTTCTCTATCCCTCTTTTCCTTCTCTTTCTCTATCCCTCTTTTCCTTCTCTTTCTATGTCATTTCTGTCTCTCTTTGTCTCTCTCTCTCTCTATCACTCTATGTCTGTTCATGTCTCTTTGTCTCTCTTTCACTCTATGTCTGTTTCTTTCTCTCTCTCTCTCTCTATTTCTCTTTCTCTTCCACAGTACCCATACTGATGAGTCAGGCATGGTCATCAAGAGGAGATATCAGGAGATCCAGTGAGTATGCTGCCCTCAAACTTCTTTAATGTAGTTCTTTATACCTTCATAAATAATCTTGTTTAACAAAGCAACATGTGTTAAAACAGGTAGCATTTTTGATATGCAAAATGATTTCTGTCATTTACTTCTAAATCATCAGTTAAAAAAATCATGGATCTTTTATTTTAAATGTAATATCTGTGTTACACGACCAAACTGACCCCATGATTTTCGGCCATTCAAGGTGATACATTTGACGTTGTCTATTTTGTTCTGATATCAGTTAGATGTTAGTTTGACTGAGTTATAAAGGTGTACACTAATAAAATAATCACATTTGAGTAACATTTGTAAACTTTATTAGAAATTGATCACGTGTAGTATTGAGTTAAACATGAGTTTTTAAAAATTGTATTAGAATATTAATTTCCTTGCCTGATAATGATTTCATTTACAGTGATTTTGTGGCGATGGTGACGTACATGACTTGGTGTTCCATCGTGGTGACTACTGCAACCTGTATCTCTATGATGTACGAGAGTCCAGTTAACAGAGTGATGGATAATAAAGTGCTTGTCATCGCAGAATATATCTTTGTCATTTTCATGGGATCAGAGATGATTTTAAAGGTAAAACTTCATCAAATTATGTTCTCCATGTTAGAAACATTGACATTTTGCCTCCCAATCCAATCCAAAAGGTATTTGGTAACGCTTTTGTACCTCCGTCCGTTGTCCGTCCGTCTGTCCCGCTTTCAGTTGAGTTATAAACTTCAAACTTGAAAGTATGTATCACCATAGGAAGAAAATCTGATTAGATCTTGGAGTAACTATGTCAAAGGTCACAGAGGTAAACTTATGAAATTCCAGGTTTTGGCATCGTTAGCACAATATCTCAAGAACCACTCGAGATATGAGGCTTAAACTTGTTCATAATATGTCTCAGCATAGGTAGATGATCAGATAAGATTTTGGGGTTAGTAGGTCAATGGTCAAAAGTCTATTATTGTTTGGGCCGTTCGAAGGTGTTCAACTATTATGGATCCAGCTGGGGAACGCATTCAGAACTTGACCGAACGCTCCGGAACGCATTCAGTATACACATCCCCAATTGGCGTTCAGAATGCGTTCAACTATTATTGATCCGGCTGGGGAACGCGTTCAGAACTTGACCAAATGCTCCGGAATGCGTTCAGTATACATATCCCCCAATTGGTATTCAGAATGCGTTCAACTATCATTGAGTAGGCTGTTCAAATTTGTTCAACTGTTATTGATCTAGCTTGGGAACGCGTTTAGAACTTGACTGAACGCTCTGGAAAACGCGTTCAGTATATACACACCCCCCAACTGGCATTTATAATGCATTCAACTATTATTCATCCAGCTGAGGAAAGCATTCAGAACTTGACTGAACGATACGGAATGCGTTTATTTTACACATCCCCTAACAATTGACATTCAGAATGCGATCAAACAGTAGTTGGATTAAATCTCTTAAAGTGTATCTGCACTAGTTTGGCCAGGAGGGATTAGACCTCCCTGCGTGGTCAATGGCAGGCGGTTTTCTCAAATCAGCTCTCGATTAACATAAGAAAAAGGGGACCATGGGGGATCAACCGATACCACTTAAGGGTTTTGGGCTATATAGAGGGCGCAAGTAGCTACCAGTAGTGCAGTCCCACTTTAAGATTAAATCATAATCTTTTCTCCTCTTCAGATTCTAGCTGATGGTCTGTTCTTCACACCTAAAGCTCTGATACGAGATGTTGGAGGGTTCTTGGATGTGTTCATCTATCTCATCAGTGTTATCTTCCTCTTTTGGATGCCTAAGAACGTACAGCCTGCCTCTCTAGCTCATGTAAGCTCCATCAATCATGTTTCTCTCTTTCTTTTAATTTTTGCCTTTCAATCATGTTTCTCGCCTTTCAATCATGTTTCTCTTATTAGATGTGACCAGAGCCTGTCTTACAAAGAATTGCGTTTGATCCAAATCAATCGCAAGTTTGCATTCTGCTATCTCTTATGCACATACTGTAGTTGCAATTGATATCAACTCTTTTGTAAGACGGGGCTTCAATCAAAACCAATAATAAGTGCCCCATCTCTATTCTTGATACATAGTGACAAATCTTGATATTAGTATTACTAAGGTAATTGGTACTATTAGCAGTGTGCCAGGGCTCAAACTCACAACCTTAGCATTTGGGCCCAGTAAAATTTTCAAACTTTTGAACGAGACAACTTATTTTCTTCCAGGTATTTCTTGTACTCCGATGCTGTCGTCCACTACGCATCTTTGCTCTCGTTCCCCATCTTCGGAAGTTGTTCTACGAGCTCCTGCGTAGCTTCAAAGAAATCTTCCTTGTCTCGGTTCTTCTCCTTGCTCTCATCTTTGTCTTTGCCAGCTATGGTGTTCAGATCTTTGCAACCAGATTGGCCAAGTGTAATGACCCCAACATTACAGAAGAGGTAAGAATGAAGAATTTCAAAATGATCAATATCTGTGTTTATTCATCTGTACAAGTTAGCTAGTATATGTTGTCTCTGTGTAGCGCCTTAGATTTTAACCCGACCAGAAACCCGCCCGCCACGAGGGATCGGTGGTGTTTGATCCGATTAAACTTGATACCAGTTGTGTACAGCTGAATTATGTATAGATGAATATACTATAATGGATGAGTTTGCCACCAATATTTTTTATACACAATCATGGCAACTGTTAGCAAAATATAACTTTGCATTCATTGTTCCAAATGAAACCCAAACTCGAGTCAGAGATGCTCTTTGGGTGCATTCATATAATTTGATCACGTACCATTGGCAGGCAAGACACAATCCGGCAATTGCCTTATTTTTCCCCTAAATTTGCACATAAGAGGCAAGACTGCAATTAAAGGGATAGTTGAGTTCTTGTTTAAGACCGCAAATGCCTTCAAAAGTGCATGGCTATTGCTCTTATTCTTATCTATAACATTTCTAGTGCCCTTTTAGAACCTAAAATTGCAATGAATGTAATTTTCAGCCAACTCTGAACCGATTCTGATCAAATAAAGATGATTTTGTCATTTAAATTGTATATTCTTTAAAATTTGACACCCAGTTTTTGTTATGATCTCACAAACAAATTATTTGCAACAAAACTCAACTAGCCCTTTAACATTATCCTTTTGATTTCAGCGTGACTGTGTTGGAGAATTCCGGATCATGGTGAGTGTGGTGAAGACGCACAAACCCAGATCACCAGAAGACGAACTCCCTACTTTCTTGGTTCCTAGAGTTTGGTAAGTTATCACCCTCCTCCTGGATTGATCATCTTAAAGCCAGTCTGTGCTAGTTTGGCCAAGGGGGATTAGGGCTCCCTGAAAGGTCACTGACAGGGGGCTATCCCATCAAATCAGCTCTCAATTAACATAAGAAAAAGGGGATTATGGGGGACCAACAGGCACTGATTAGGCATTGTTTGCTATACAGAGGGCGCAAGTAGCAAGTAGTACAGTGGGGCTTTAAAAACAGTAATATATACAGTCAAACTTCCTTTTAATAGGGACCATCTCTATAGAAAGACCACCCGTCTGCAAAGACCACTTTTTGGGGGGTCTCCCTTGAACATGGTTTCTCATTGGAACATGTTCTGAAGGAACCTGTACATAAAGTCCACTTTTTGGGCCTCCCTTGAATTGTCTTTATAAACAGTTTCACTGGCTCATTTTGTGTAATTTCACCCCTGGCCCGAAAAAAGAGAATAATAGGTACAACAAAAAAAAGTTCTAAGAGTTTAGTAAAGTAGCCACAGACAAATTGGTTTAAAAAAATATGATGTAGCTTCATATATCGCAAAAAAGCTCCAATACTTTCCTCTCTTTTCATTGATGAAGTTGATTGATGAACAGCTAGGAACTTAACTATGTATCAATACCCTTACCAAATTTGGTAATTGTTTAAGTATGTGAAAAATGTATTTATCCTGATTTATGTTTCTTGAGAATGTGACATATTAAAGCTTATATATATATGAGTATTTAACAAAGGCTCTAATTCAACCAGTCCACCTTTCATTCTTGAGTTACAAAAACAACAATCCAAAAGATCAAATTAACAAGGGGTATGAATAATTTAATTCTTAACTGTATGTCTGCTTTGAAAAAAAATTTAAAAGAGAATGTCTGTATGAGCTACAGTGAAACCTGTCTATAAAGACCACCCAAGGGCAACAAGGAAAGTGGTCTTTATAGGCAGGTGGTCTTTATGTACAGGTTCCTTTAGTTTCAATGAGAAACCATTTTTCAAGGGAAACAAAAAATGTGGTCTTTGTAGACAGGTGGTCACTAAAGCAGGTTTGACTTTCATCAGTGTATACGGTACTTGTATTTTTACAGGGCCAACCCACGCAACTTTAATTTTGACAACTTGGGTAACGCCCTATTGGCATTGTTTGAAGTGCTCTCTTTAGAAGGATGGTTGGAGGTTAGAGACATCATCATTAATCAGACCAACATGGTAAGTCATTCTTCCTTCTTCCTTCTTACCCCTTTTCCCTTTTCCTTCTTCTTTTCTGTTTTACTTCTCCTCGTTGTTTCGTGGTTGTTTGTTGTTTTCTAATATTGTCTTTTGTTTTCCAAGTCTTCATAGGCAAAATTTGAAACAATTATATATTTTTCTGGGGGATCCTCAAACTACAAGCACTGTTTTTTAGTGGATCCTCCCATTTCCTCAGAAATTTAGAATTTCTTGTAATAATTTTATTATGTGCAAAGTGTATTTGTATAGTTAACAGAAAAAATGAATTATGTATGAAAAAAAGTGTAATACCTTTGTTTATCTTTCTGTTGGAAATGAAATAAATATGAATTGAATTGAATTGAAATGCTCTATCTCTCTCTGTGCCTCAAAGGTTGGGATACTCACTTGAAATACAAGTAGTTAAAAGTCTCGGTCTGTATTGTAGCTGTTGCATAACCTCAAGACATGTATTTATGTGGTTTAATGATCATTTCATGCCAGTCCAGGGTCTTGTTTCATTAAACTCGTTATCAATAACAAGTTACAATAGCTGTTATAAGCTACTGAAATAGTGGCATTTGATTAGACGTGAGCAATTTTGTCATATAATTTTAATTTTTAAAATAAGGTTGAAAGGTTTGTTTTATGGGTCATGGAAGAAATACCGAAAAATAGTACAAATATATTTTACAACTAAGACAGTCAAAAGAATATCTTATAAAGAAAGGTTCTTTGGCAGCAAACAATAAATTGAAGGCAAGGTTTAAAAAAATAATGTAAGTAAATCTATATACACTGTACTCTATATAAGATATTTTCAGTGCTATACGTATGTATACTATGCTTTGTTGATATGATAGTGCCTTATTGTATAAGTGATTGTGTGATATTTGTTTGATTTGACAGTGGCATACGTTGTACATACACATCTTTGTCTTCATTGGCTGTATGATTGGACTTACTCTCTTCGTTGGTGTGGTCATCTCAAACTACTTTGAAAACAAGGTAATAATAATAAGGTGATGATGATGATGATGATGATAAGATGAAATGATGACGATGAAGGTGATGATGATGATGATGATGATGATGGTGATCATGGTGTACGTTGACTATGATGAATATTAAGATGATGATGATGATGATGCTAATGATATTGATAATGATGATTGTTGGTGATGATGAAGATGATGATGAGGGGAATGATAGAATAATAATGATAATGATGATGATGGTGATAATGGTGTTGACTATGATGAATATTAAAACCCCACTGTACTACTTGTAGCTGCTTGCTCCCTCTATATAGATAACAATGCCTAAGCATTAATGAAGCTGCCTTGTTAACACTGCCCAACCGTCAATCTTATTTCTTTCTGATGTCTTTAAAGGTAAAGGCCAATTCTGGTCATGCCATTGCATTGTGAAAGAAACGTTGTGGAATCGATCAGAAAAGGTTGATCATCTAGTATATAAGTATTGGTGTGTACTGCAAGGTTCTGGAATCATCAAAATGATAAGAAATTTGGCCCGGTTGGTAAAGTTACAAGCACTGTACATAGAAAGATGGATATGGGACTACGCGACCCATGCACGATATCTATCAGGTCCAAATAGATATAATAATAATAATAATATATGTATATCAATTATTAGGCCGTTTCCCGGTGAAATTTGTATCATCACATATTAGTCAAAACATATTCTTTCATATGCATACATGCCAACTGTTCAGATTAAAGAGGAACATTCCTCTTTTTGGGAGAAGATAATTATCATTTTAATGCAGGTGTTCCTCTTCCTGTACAAATTTGTCTGTAGTATTGAATAGGAGAGTTAGGATTGTTCCTCTTTTTTTTGAAAATAGCATAATTTGTACAGATTTCTGATTTTCAAATGTTGGCATTTATGCATATGATTGGTAATAAGAGCTTGCATTTCATTTTTTTGAGAGGGGGGCGTTTCAAAACTGATCTTTACCTTTAAATTGTTTCCAGGGAACCACTCTGCTAACCATCGACCAGAGAAGATGGCAGGATCTTAAAGGAAGACTTCAACTTGCCCAACCTCTTCATTTGCCACCAAGACCTGGTAAGACTCTCCCTTTTTCCTACCATCAAGGCCTCATAAGACTATCACTTCAGATGGAGCTAATACAATGAAACCTGTATAGAAAGACCATTCAAGGGTGATAAGAAAAGTGGTCTTTATAGGCAGGTGGTCTTTATGTACAGGTTCCCTTAGTATATATGTTTCTATGAGAAATGGTTGTCACAGGAAACTAAAAATGTGGTCTTTATAGACAGGGGGTCTTTGTATAAAGTTGGTTTCTAAAGCAGGTTTCACTATATGTACAGCTAAATCATCAGTCGTTCCCATTGCTTAGTAATTTGTAAAGCTTTTAATTGACGTTAAATTGACGTAAATCAAATATATTTGAGCCCCTAGCTTTTAATGTCTAATTGATACAATGATATGTACAATTTTTTGTGTGTACAATCATTTCCTCTTCTCCCTCGATATGGATGTAATTTTTGCAAGGTATTTGCTGATATTTGTGGTTTTCTTTGAACAGATCGTTCTCGTTTCCGTGCCAAGCTGTATGACCTGTCACAGCACAAGTACTTCAAGCGATTCATTGCATTCTTGGTTCTGGTCAACTTCTTTCTTCTCTCATCCAAGGTAAGATCCCTCGTAGGGCTAGATCACTGTCTGTTTAGTTTTGCATGATATTAATATACAGTGCATCCCAGAAAAAAAGAAAACCAAGAATTATTGGTGTTTTATTATAACTTAATCACAATTATAATTAATGAATTACACATATTTGTATAGCCTAGAGCCTCCTCTTTCATTTGATGCAACTCATATGATGCATATTTCACGCATAAGTGATTAAAATCTATTTGAAGAGAGGGAACCAAAAAGTAATTTGGCGGTCGGTATCTGAATTACAAAGAGAAAATCACATTTCTAGAAAGTTCAGTTTCTGCCCTTTCATATGACACGTCAATCAAGCAAAATTAGCAAGGAATAACAAAGTTCTGTTTGTTTAAAGTGATGCTTGCATTTCCATAATTTGATTTGAAAAGTTCGTTTTCACTGGCTGCCTGCCGTAGCAACAAGCAGAATTGACAAAAGACTTAACTCTGTTTCGTTGACAATCAACCATGCATGTTCGTCCTGGAAGTCAAGATAATGATGATATTTCTTTGTCATTCATACAGTGGGAGGATGATGAAACAGCCACGGTCCTAGCCTACATCTCGGTTGTCCTCACTCTCATGTTCGTCCTGGAAGTCATCTTAAAGTGCATCTCATTGAGCCCTATTGGATACTGGCATAGCAGACGTAATAGATATGATCTCCTGGTCACTTTGATGGGCGTGGCTTGGCTTATTCTTCACTTCACCAATATGGTAAGTTTTTCTATCTTGCAGAGCCAATTTTGGGGTCATATGGTCAAAGGTCATGGGGCTCATTATGTATGCAAAAATAGCTTATTCTTCACTTCACCAATATGGTCAGTTTTTCCATCATACATACATTCATTCTTCATTTCACCAGTTTGACCAGTTTCTCTATCTTGCAGAGCCAATGAACTGATTAGATTTTGGGGTCATGAGGTCAAGGGTCATTGGGCTCATTATGTATGCAAAAATAGCTTATTCTTCACTTTAACAATATGGTCAGTTTTTCCATCAAACATACATTCATTCTCCATTTCACCAGTTTGACCAGTTTCTCTATCTTGCAGAGCCAATGATCTGATTAGATTTTGGGGTTATGAGGTCAAAGGTCATGGGGCTCATTATGTATGCAAAAATAGATTGTGATCGCATAATCATTAGAACCGATAGACAGATTACCATCATACTCCCAAGACGTGTATGTATCTCGATGAGCCTTGGAACTGGTTGGATTTTGGGGTCATGAGGTCAAAGATCGAAGGGTCATACATGTAAATATGAAAAATAGGTTGTAATCACGATATTCTGAGAACCTATAATGGATTATAATCAAACTTGAATTTTAAAAATTGTTTCTGTTTTTGGTTTGTAAAATCGCTCTTTGGCGGAGGCATCATTTTCGACTGCGCGCAGTCAAAGATCTATTTACTTTAATTCTGAAGGTATTGCCCAATTCATATTTAGTGATGCTATTTAGTAGCAGAAAACATTAATAAGGTCAGTTTTTGTGCTGTTCTTTACATCTTGCTTTTTAAATCTTCTCTTGCGGTATAGAATAATACCAGCTTTGCGTTTGGAGCAGCAACAGTTCTCTTCCGATTCTTCACCATCACAGGCAAACATGTAAGTATATCCTCTCTCACTGTTCCTAGGGGGTGTTTCACAAAGATCCTAAGTTGAGTTTATCTTTAAGTTGGACTTAACAATTAGGGAAAGCCGTTAGCATCTTTGAAAATATTTGGTAAAAGTTTTTATGCCTCCGCCACCGAAGGTGGTGCCGGAGGCATCATGTTTTCGGGTTGTCCGTCCGTACGTCCGTCCGTACGTCCGTCCCGTTTGACCGTTATCACAATATCTCAAGAACCATTTAAGATTTAAACTTAAGACTCGGGAATAGTATTTATCACCATAGGAAGACGATCTGATTAGATTTTGGAGTACGTAGGTCAAAGGTCACAGGTCACAGAGGTCAACTTATGAAATTCCTTGTATTGAGTTTGTTAGCGCGATATCTCAAGAACCATTTGAGATTTAAACTTCAAACTTAAGGATAGTATGTATCACCATAGGAAGACGATCTGATTAGATTTTGGAGCACGTATGTCAAAGGTCAAGGGTCACAGAGGTCAACTTATGAAATTCCATACATTGAGATTGTTATCATGATATCTCAAGAACCACTGGAGATTTAAACTTCAAACTTAGTGATAGTGTGTATCACTATAGGAAAACAATCTGATTACATTTTGGAGCACGTAGGTCAAAGGTCAAGGGTCATAGAGGTCAACTTATGAAATTCCATACATTGAGATTGTTATCATGATATCTCAAGAACCACTGGAGATGTAAAAACTTCAAACTTAAGGATAGTATGTATCACCATAGGAAGACGATCTGATTAGATTTTGGAGCACGTAGGTCAAAGGTCAAGGGTCACAGAGGTCAACTTATGAAATTCCATACATTGAGATTGTTATCATGATATCTCAAGAATCACTGGAGATTTAAACTCTAAACTTGTTTAAATTGCTCTATGGCGGAGGCATCATTTTCGACTGCGCGCAGTCAAAATTCCATCTAGTTTTAATTTTACAAAGAGCCTTACAAAGAGTTGCGATTGATCCAAATCAATCGTAAGTCCTCCAATCAATCGCAAGTTTGCAATCTCCCATCTCTTATGTACATAGTTGCAATTGATATTAACTTTTTGTAAGACGGGGCCCTGATCAGTATTCTGTAAATAAAGGGCTTAATAAGAATCAATTATTATTATCATTATTATTATTTTGTTCATGTTTTAGCCCACACTGAAGATGCTGATGATGACGATCGTGGTGTCCTGCGGGAAGTCTTTCTTCATCATCGTCGGGCTGTTCCTCCTGATCACCTTCTATGCTTTCCTCGGTGTCGTCCTCTTCGGCAAGGTCAAGTATGGGGAACACTTGGGCAGGTGAGCAATAAAACAGTGGCCTGTGGTCTTCAAAACAGACTGAGCTAATTAAAGCCTTCTCATATAATCCAATCAATAATAATAACAATAATATTATCCCGCTTTTATGTAGCGCTTAATACATCTACGATGTCTATGGGAGGTATTCTTCCTCACTAATGAAGCCTTCATTTTGTAAACACCAAATCACAAATGATTGTAAGTTTGCTCATATTTAATTTCTTTGCCACCATACTTTTAGGAAAGTTTTCAATGATGATTTTTTTAAAAAAACATTTATGCCCTTTTTCAAGTTTTGAGATTTTCGCTACATGCAAATCCTTGCAACTCCCTTTTGAAATTGACAAGCAATTTAAATAGAAAATACTATTTTGGAGACCTCTTACTTTAGAAACTACTGTATGACATATTTATTTACTTCTGATCTCCCTCACATGTGCCTAATATGAGGGTTAATTTTAGTTCCACATTCATATCTTTATATTTGTTTATGTATGCACCAGCCAATGTGGAGAGCTTCTCAACAGATTTTTAAAATTCTTTTAGGTCATCCCCAGGCATTGGCTGGTGCTAAATATCATACTGTTAATGTTATATCATTTTGTCAACCCTGTGAAGTTTTCTGTGTATTATTATTATCTTGCCTGGAAATCAAATAATTAAATAAATAAATCATTTTTCTGCATTATCCAATCTTTTCATTGATACAGACATGCTAACTTTGAGAATGCCCCCAATGCCATGGCAACACTGTTCAGGATTGTGACTGGTGAAGACTGGAATAAGATCATGCATGACTGTATGGTACGTACGTGATTTGTCTTTCATGAAAGTAGTGGAATTTTGGAAATGAGATGCACTAGCTGACTTGCATTTTTTCAAGGATGTCCCTATGTCCATATGTTCATAAGAGGCGTGCCTCGGGGTCATAGCAGGATGCAACGTCCCCTTGAGCCTATATAAACCGCTATGCCTCTCATAGCAGTAATATATATATATATAATATTAAACTGGATGAGCTATATACCTTAATGCTTAGAAAATTTGATTGTCTAGCTTTTATTAATTATAGATTTTATAGTAAGTTGGTACCAGAACAGGAGACTTGCATTGGTTTCAGTCTTGTACGTAGGGACCTTGCGACCTAGGTACCAGTGTCAGGTAACCATTCAGTAAAGCCATAAGGTATATATCGTTTGAACAATTACATGTAGGAGAGTTCTGTCAGAACACTGATATTAGAACAAGGGAGTGAAATGAGCTTAGCTTAGTTGTGATCAATTGACCAAATGGATGAAGTCTGATATGATTGTATTTTACTCGGTCCTCTTGAATTCTCTTGTAAATGTTTTTATTTTATTTTAGAAGTAATTGGTTAATAAAAGTGAGAAGTGCATGCACAGTGGTAGAATGTTTAAAGAACAATATTGACTTGATTTGAAAGCGAAGTCAACAGTATAATTAAGCCATTGTACACTGTAGTAATGTTGTACCATGAGCCATTTGTTTTCACAATTTCATTTTATGACCCCTCCCATACATGCCAACTGTTCAGATTAAAGAGGAACATTCCTCTTTTTGGGAGAAGATAATTATCATTTTAATGCAGGTGTTCCTCTTCCTGTACAAATTTGTCTGTATTATTGAATAGGAGAGTTAGGATTGTTCCTCTTTTTTTTGAAAATAGCATAATTTGTACAGATTTCTGATTTTCAAATGTTGGCATGTATGCCCTCCGATGCCTCTTCATTTTAATCTTGCGGAATCTGTTGAATATGTCCGTCCAACAATAACAAGGGCTAGCATTTATTAATACTTTTCATTGTGGTTTGAATATGATGATCATTAGGAATAGAAGCATGAACCTTAGACTTGTGTATGCATTATATTTGTGAGATACACTCTTGATACATCAGTATGTTTATTTATCCTCCAGATAAGTGAGCCCCATTGCAGTAAGAGAGGAGAGAATTATTGGGAGACCGATTGCGGCAACAGCATTGCATCCATGGTCTACTTTTGTTCTTTCTATGTCCTCATAGCTTACATCGTTATCAATCTTCTTGTTGGTAGGTCCAGTATACTCTTTATTTACGTGTGCATCATCGTCATCAATCTAGAAATTGGAATTGTTACGAACCCAATACATATTCATGTATGTTAATTGTGAGCAGAACACTCGCTTGTGAAGGGGTGATTATGATTAAAACCTACGACCGTGTTTGTCCCAGGTATTTTGTTATTTTGTTTTGTATTAATAATGTATTAATAGTGTTGTGTTGTGAAACACAGGAAGATATGATGGTATAATCCAAAGTCACCTTGTTGTGATAGAATGTCAAAAGTATGTCATTGATTGTATTAAACTCAAATTGTTGTCAATCCATTGTACATTGGCTGAAACAAACGTCAGATCATAATGGACCAGGGGAGCATTTCACAAAGACTAAGATCGACTTTAAGTTGGACTTAACTACGGCAGGCCGTTCATGCCACTGTTTGCTCTAGAGCTCACCATTAACTGGCATAGGTCTCTTAAGGGACGTACAAATCATGGTCACAAATCTACAGAATTTACAATGTTGGATAATTCATTATTGAAGGAAAATATAATATCTAAAGATCATAATGGTGAGAGCAAACAGTGGCATGAACGTGGCATGAATGGGTATAATGGTCCTGTGTATACGTCAGTGTGCTGCCCTCCATATACTCGCGCTTGAGCAACCTTAAATAGTTTGATACTCTCTCTTTAACCCTTGCTCAGGTATCATCATGGAGAATTTCTCTCTCTTCTACTCTAACGAGGAAGATGCTTTACTCAGTTACGCAGACATCAAAAACTTTCAAATCACATGGAATATGGTAGATATACACAGAAAGGTGAGTTGATAAGTTAGGATTAAAGGATTGGATATTTGGTTTGGGTTTTGTTGGAAGTGGGGTAACTCAGGAGTCATTGTGAAATAAGTAGAGCACAAGTCACATCCCAAGTAAAAAATGAATAAAATAAAGAAAAAAATAGGGGGAAAATAAATACAATTTTTAAATTTTATTTGGAACATTATAAATATATATATATAATATATATATATATACCGGTATAAAATGAATACAAATTTCAATTTCAGTTTTAAATGTTTGAACACTTTATTTCATAAAATATCAAACACAGTGTACACCCAAATGGTGAATGTGATACATTAATAAACAAATTTTAAAAAAGCCTACAAAACTACTAAAACATACATGTATTAACAAAGCATAATTGTCATACTAACAAAACTTTGCTAGCATTTCATATAGAGGATTTCGGATTCAAAGGTAATACTGGTACATGTATCAATAACTATTATGCATGAATATCTCTGTCTAAATGCTGGCTGTCAAACTGATTGGCAAATATATATACCCATCTTTTAAATGTAGTATTAGGTGTGAGTGTATTAAAGACATAAACACAAAAGAAAGAAAAAATAAAAACATTGATTTTTGTTTTAAAATAGTTTGCTAATCACTGGTGAAATTTACGTGAACCAATATTGGATCATACATGAATACCTCAATAAATGGATTGTCTTCAACGCTGGCAAACCAATTGGCGCCCGTTGTGTAAATGATACAAATATAATTTAAATCTAATCTGAATGTAAGATATTTACAAAAAGATGAAGAAAACAATGCATGTTTTATATACATTTTTTGCTGCTACAATACTGGTAAACTGCATGGCAGATAACTGTGACCAAATATTGAACAGCTTAAACATGAATATATCTAAATAGATGGAAAGTCTTAAATGCTGGCAAATCGAGTGGCGTATTTATCAGTTGTGTAGAGAAACTAATATAATGTAAATCTAATCTGAATGTTTGCTATTTGAGCTACCATCACATTGATAAGTTTGTTTTTTGTAGTTGGAGTACTTAACTTTGTTCCTTAGACTAGAAAATCTTAAATACTTACAGTACAGCGTATGTTTTCTTTTTACAGATTTAAGATACCTATAGGATAGTTTTTTCTGTCTCTGTTTTGAGGCATGATTTTCTAATGGGATACATGTATTATACAACTTTGAAATTGAAGTAATAAAAATATCATAGAAAAGGTTAACATCTTCTGTTTTATATACTTCACTCCAATCTATGTTTTTTTATGTTTTCTTTAAATCAAGATATTCTCTCGTGATTAATCAACCTCCTTTTAAAAGGAATATCATCTTTATTTCAAAATTCTATAGTTATTACAGTATTATACAAAAATTGGAAAATGATCAGATATGTCTGAATAGATTAGGCCACGTTTCACTTTAACTGGGATAGCATTTGTGAAAATGTTATCAATTAATGTCGCTGTGCTATTTGTTATACGAGTAGGCTTTGTTATTAATGGAAGTAAGTCAGTTTTGTTATCAGAGTCATAATTGAGCAAGTTTACATTAAAGTCATCAAGGAGATAAAGTTCTTTCTTCTCCCAATAGATATCATTGAGGTATTTGTCAACTCTCGCATGAAATTGAGTAATATCAGTATCTGGAGCTTGGTATAAACAGTCAACAATTATGGACTTTCTTTTGTCCTGTGAAATTCCAATACATAGAGATTCACATATTGTATCACTATCAGAGAAGTCACTAAGATCATTGAAATGCAGTGAGTCCTTTACATACAATGCTACACCTCCACTAGTTTTTCTATCCCTGCAATTGTGAACAAGATTGTAACCATCAACCATCTGAAAGATATTTATAACTGTATTTGTTTTAAAGCCCCACTGCACTACTTATAGCTACTTGCGTCCTCTATATAGCAAACAATACCTTATCTGTGCCTGTTGGTCCCCCATGATCCCCTTTTTCTTATATTAATTGAGGGCTCATTTGAAGAGATAACCACCTGTCAGTGACCTTACAGGAAGGTCTAATCCCCCCTGGCCAAACTAGTGCAGACGGGCTTTAAACCATGTTTCAGATGTTGCGATAACAGAGAAACTATATTCCAGAGACTTCAATAAAATCAGTAATTCATCAAAGTTACACTGGAGACTTCTTGCATTAAGATGTAGTATGGAGAATCCTGTGTTTTTATTTGAATATTTTGCAACAAAATAATCAGAAAACAAATATTCACAATTTCTGTTGTCCATACTAGACTGCATACCTTCATCAGTTTCTATATTCAGAGAGAGATTCTGATTGAGTTCACTGTTTACATTTATTTGGAATGGGTTGAATTTCAAATAATGAAGTTTTTCCATATCTGTAGTTAGATTAAGGTGGACAAAACTGTAGAGTGCCTCTAAGAAGTCTCTATCGGTAATATTAATGGTTGAAAGGAAACAATTCAGAGTAACAATGCATGCAGAAGTCAAAATTACTAATTCTGGACTCACTATTCACAATTATTTGGCATAGCATTCATACATATTAAAAAAGAAATGGAAAAAGACCAAAGGACAAAAACAGTCACACACCAACACCCCTCAGACACTCTAAACAAAATAAATAATATAACGATATACAAATTCAAGACAAAAATGGTAAGTACATAAATTATTATTATTATTATTATTATTATTATTATTATTATTATTAAGATTTATTCAGCAAAAACAAAGAAAATCATTGAATACAAAACGAGAGTACATTTAGAAAAGAGTCACATGGATGCTGGAAAAAGAAAAATATTAACTTAATAACTGTATAAATGAGTTAATATGCGTAAAAAACTAAAACTGGGTATGCCACAATGAGCATTGCTGTGAAGAGGTATACATCATGTAAATAACAATTTGATCAAGGTAAATAGTATAAAAAAATAACAAGAATAGGGTACAAAATAGTTATCAAACCACCAATTCTTCAGAAATAGAAAGAAAACAGGTGGTCTTATATGCTATTTCAAAACTATTTAAAATTATTAAAAAAATAGTGTTTAAATAGGGCACATTCACATGAAAATAGGAAATAAATAGTAAAAAAATAGCAACAAAATATATATTTCGATTCAGAGACCATTTTGAATAGGGATAAGACAACTGACATGAATTTCTTTCTTTTTCTCTCTCCTTGAACAGGATGATCCGATTAAACCATCCAGGACAGGATTTATTTTTAGGGTTAAATTAATCACATATTCTTCAAATTGGCACCAAATATATTTTCTATTACTGCTATACTGTTACAATAAAATGAAATGTCCCTGACACCAATATACATAGGCGTTAATGTTGTTGAAAAGTTGAAAACATGGCATATTTTGATAGTAAAACAATGATGTTGAATCTTGCAACGTTTTGCCAATTTAAGGATTTTAAAGATAATTTCCCTTTTCAATTTTCCCTTTTCAATTTTCCTGGCATGAAATGCAATATACCGGTAGACATGAAACAAAAATGGATGCAGTGTCTAAAAAATTCCTGCCCTTATTACTAATACGCATCTGGCATATTTGTTAGGGCTCTGAATTGAAGGTTATATAAAAGCCGAACCACGAAATGTGAGATAATTGTCGCGAAAAGGTTAAGCTATATTCCAATGTTTGACCCTGAACGCGGGGTGGCTGATCCCAGTATGTGATTTATTTAAATTTTTCTCACTCATCAGGGGGTGATTCCGGTCAGCCGAGTCAAGTTTGTCCTGCGTCTGCTCAGAGGACGTCTAGAGGTGGATATGGAGAAAGACCATCTTCTCTACAAGCATATGTGTTGTGAGATCGAGAAGATGCGGAACGGACAAGATGTCACATTTCATGATGTACTCAGGTTTGTAGACTACTACAGCTAGTGAAGTGAAACCTGTATATGAAGACCACTCAAGGGTGACAAAAAAGGTGGTCTTTATAGGCAGGTGTTCTTTATGTACAGGTTCCTTTTGGAAATGTTTCAATGAGAAATGATTGTGAAGGGAAAAAAGAACATGTGGTCTTTGTAGACAGGTGGTCTTTATAGGCAGGTGGTCTTTGTGTATAGGCTCATTTTTGTACATGTTTCTATGAGAAATGATTGTGAAGGGAAAAAAGAACATGTGGTCTTTGTAGACAGGTGGTCACTAAAGCAGGTTTGACTGTAATACAGTCAAACCTGCATATAAAGACCACTCACAGGTGAAATTCACGAAAGGGGGTCTTTATAGGCAGGTGATCTTTATGTACAGGTTCATTTTTGTAAATGTTTCTATGAGAAATTATTGTGAAGGGGAAAAGAAAAAAAGTGGTCTAGTAGACAGGGGGTCTTTCACTGTAGTAGCAACATTCAGAGCTGTGTTTCGTCAAACCTGATGACAATTCTATGAAAAAATCTGATTTTAAAAAATTATCAATTATTGTAATTTTCGATTGATAAAGGGTTTATGGACTTTGATTTAATGACTGACCAAAGTGGACAAAATCAAGGTGACATCTACATTTGGTATCCTACTCATTTGTTTTCATTTTGGAAACTACATTTATAAGGAAGTATATGACTCAGAATGTGTTAGTTACATCTCAACAAAAAATGAAATCCTCTGAATATAATCAGCATTTGAAGTGAATATTGACTAAGAATCATCAGAAGAATTATTTACTATTAATTGTACCACGATCGATAACTTGTATGAAATATGAACAAATTAATTAAAAAAAAAATAAAATTGTGTTTTGTTCTTACAGCATGCTGTCATACCGGTCTGTAGACATCAGGAAATCTCTTCAGCTCGATGAGTTATTGGCCAGGGAGGAGCTTGAGTATAACATTGAAGAAGAGGTTGCCAAGGAGACGATTAGGAACTGGCTCGACAAGTGTCTCATTCGGATGAGAGCTGTAAGTAATGCCTGGGTCAGTCTAAAATTTGTTCTTTCAATTTCTTTTCGTTTCCCTAGTTTTGAAATGCATGCATCTCCCATTTGTATCTACCCTACATTTCGTTCTTGGTTCGAAGTTTGCGTTTTAATGCCAATTAAATGCCTGGCCCAGTCTAAAACTTGTTAATTTCAATTTCATTTCTTTTTCTCAATTTTTGAAATGCATGCGTTTCCTATTCGTATCTCCCCTATGATTCGTTCTTGGTTTTAATCTTCTTTTCTGAACAAATCCTCATTTGTTATCTTTTCTGTCCATGATATATATATATTCATAATCTTTCCCAAAGAAGTATGCGTTTTAATGTCAATGTCACTTGATACCGTCTCGATGCCGATTTGATGTGATTCGTTGTGGAAAAACAAAGTGGAAACACAAAATTTGACATTTTGAACATGTCCAAAGTTTACTTGGGCCTTTGCATTTTTTTTCTTTTTTTTCTTTGAGGTTTGCTGCCGCATAGCTGAAAAGCCTTTACAAATGCTAATATTGTTATGTGTTGCATGGTCATTCACTGAGGGTGTTTCACAAAGAACTGAATGTGAACTTATCTCTAAGTTGGACTAAACAATTATGGAAAGCTGTTAGCATCTTTGAAAATATTTTGTAAAAGATATTTTTAACCGCTTCTCCATAATGTTTAAGTCCAACTTAGAGTTAAGTTCGACTTGGGATCTTTGTGAAACACCCCCTGGTATTAAAACTCTGAATGTTAATGTATTCTTTTTTTAATAACAGAAAGAGAAAAGTCATCATCCATCTTACAGCAATCCATTCTACGGTGGAGAGAAGCCAGAAAGACTGGTAGTTCCCCCTGCTTTCATTACTACCCCTAGTCCGCCTAAAGAAGATACTAACAAGAGCAAGGAGGAGACACCAGTCTTGGATAACATCGCTCCAAATCCAGAAACCAATAAGGATTCAGTGAGTAGTGAATTAAAGTGTACCAACCACCAAAACATGTTTTGCTCTCGATGTATGAAGGGGTTCCATGTGGCTATACTGTATTTAAAATACTAACTTCAAATTATTCTTCTACAAAGAGATATGGCAATTTGAATACTTTCTCGGTAGAAATGGCGCAGCACACAGTGCACACAAAGGGATCAAATGTGGATGAGGAATACTGCCTTGAACATCTCTTGGGGTGGATATGTGCGCATTATAAATGTTATTATTATTATTATTATTTATTAATTACCAAAAAGGGCACTTTCACCTCGATTTGGCTTTAACTTCTGGACCTCATGGTTATAAGATTACTGCTACGTGTCACCTTGGCATGATCAATGCCTCATTTATTTACTGATTATGGTCTGCATTCTTAATTGTATCCACCTATTACTATAAACTAAAATATTTTTGATTGAAGAGTGCTGTGTGATCTTGTCACATTTTTTAACAGACCAAAAAAAAATTGGCCTTTTCTCCAAATGCTCAGACAAAGTCTGAGCACGGTGCTCCCAGTTCCCCGGGACACAAGCTGCTTGTACCGACGCTATCTGAGGGTAACGTGAAGCCTGACGGTGAAGACAGTGCAAGCCTCAGACCTAGAAGATCTAACAGGAGATATCAAACTGGTAAGGAGTCTTTATAAGTATAAAAAAGAGAGAGAGAGAGAGAGAGAGAGAGGGAGAGGGGAAAGTGTGGGTTTAGGGTGAGATGATGAGGTGTGGAGCAAGGGTAAGAGGCAGAGATGTGGTTAAGGTGAGAGGGTGAGGTGTGGGGTTAGGGTGAGAGTGGGGGGTTAGGGTGAGGCGTGGGGTAAGAGGATGAGGTGTCGTGTAAGAGTATAGAGGGTGAGGTGTGGGGTTAGGGTGAGAGGGTTGAGAAGGTGGGGTTATGGTTAGAGGGTGACATGTGGGGTTAGGGTGAGAGGGTGAGGTATGGGTGAAGGTTGAGGTGTGGGGTTAGGGTGAGAGGGTGAGGTGTGGGGTAAGGGTTAGACGGTGAGGTGTGGGATTAGGGTTAAAGGATGAAGTGTGGGGTTAGGGTAAGATGGTGAGGTGTGGAGTTAGGGTGAGAGGGTGAGGTGTGGGATGAGGGTGAGGAGGTGAGGTGTGGGGTAAGGTTGAGAAGGTGAGGTGTGGGGTTAGGGTGAGAGGGTGAGGTGTGGGGTTAAGAATAGAGGGTGAGGTGTGGGGAGAGGATGGGATGTGGGGTAAGGGTTAGAGGATGAAGTGTGGGGTTAGGGTAAGACGGTAAGGTGTGGGGAGAGGGTGAGGTGTGGGTGAAGGTTGAGAAGGTAGGGTGTGGGGTTAGGGTGAGAGGGTGAGGTGTGGGGTAAGGGTGAGAGGGTGAGGTGTGGGGTTAGGGTGAGAGGGTGAGGTGTGGGGTTAGGGTGAGAGGGTGAGGTCTGGGGTAAGGGTTAGACGGTGAGGTGTGGGGTTAGGGTGAGAGGGTGAGGTCTGGGGTAAGGGTTAGACGGTGAGGTGTGGGATTAGGGTGAGAGGGTGAGGTGTGGGGTTAGGGTGAGAGGGTGAAGGTGAGGTGTGGGGTTAGGGTGAGAGGATGAAGTTTGGGGTTAGGGTAAGACGGTGAGGTGTGGGGTTAGGGTTAAAGGATGAAGTGTGGGGTTAGGGTAAGACGGTGAGGTGTGGGGTTAGGGTGAGAGGGTGAGGTGTGGGGTTAGGGGGAGTGGGTGAGGTGTGGAGTTAGGGTGAGAGGGTGAGGTGTGGGATGAGGGTGAGGAGGTGAGGTGTGGGGTAAGGTTGAGGTGTGGGGTTAGGGTGAGAGGGTGAGGTGTGGGGTTAAGAATAGAGGGTGAGGTGTGGGGAGAGGGTGGGATGTGGGGTAAGGGTTAGAGGATGAAGTGTGGGGTTAGGGTAAGACGGTGAGGTGTGGGGAGAGGGTGAGGTGTGGGTGAAGGTTGAGAAGGTAGGGTGTGGGGTTAGGGTGAGAGGGTTAGGTGTGGGGTTAGGGTGAGAGGATGAGGTGTGGGGTTAGGGTGAGAGGGTGAGGTGTGGGGTAAGGATGAAGGTTGAAAAGGTGGGGTTAGGGTGAGAGGGTGAGAGGGTGAAGTGTGCGGTTAGGGTGAGGTGTGGGGTAAGGGTTAGAGGATGAAGTGTGGGGTTAGGGTAAGAGGGTGAAGTGCGGGGTTAGGGTTAGAGGGTGGGGTGAAGTGTTAAAGAGGGTGAGGTGTGGGGTTAGAGTGGATGGTCGAGGTGTGGGGGTTAGGGTGAAGGTTGAGAGATTTGGGTTAGGGTTAGGTGTGGGGTTAGTGTGAGAGGGTGAGGTGTGTAGTTAGGTAAGAGAGTGTGGGGTTTGGGTGAAGGAGTGAGAGGTCGAGAGGGTGGGGTTAGGTTGTGAGGGTGAGGTGTAGGGTTAGGGTGGGAGGGTGAGGTGTGGGGTCAGGGTCAGAGGCTGAGGTGTGGTGTTTGGGTTAGATGCTGAGGTGTGGTGCTTAGGTGTTATTAGGGTTATGGTTAATTGCTAGAGCTGAATGCAACTGCTTTCTCTCCTCATTTTCCTCTTCTCTCTTCCACCCTCCTTTTTCTCTTACATTCTGTCTTTACTTTTTACTAATCTTTCCCTGCCTTGTATCATCCTCATTCATCCAGGTTCCACATCAAGTTCCACCAGCGTGACACCCGTCAGCAGCACCTGCAGTGCCCCTGTGTATCCTAGGAGTACTTCTGCTCCAACTGCTACAAAAGAAGTACAGGATTGGTGGAAAGAACAGCTTCACTACGACAGTGGTTCGGAAGAAGACTAACAAACGTGTCAAGCTTTTCTCAAGAAATATTTGATGAGTTTCATTGCTTGCATCAAAACAGACAATTTGTATACAGTAGGCTTGCGGATCCACCATGTGAGAGAGAGGGAGGATTGAGGAGTCCTCAAAACGACTCTCGGTAATCTTTCTTGAGGGTTTGAAGTCCTGTAAAGGACTGTTGGTTATCTTTCTTACCTTATAGTTCTAAGGAGAACTTTAGCGGAGTGGCTTGACGTTTCGAACAGGTTGACTATCCGTCGTCAGGAGTGGAGAATAGCTGGCGTGCGTGAACTTAAGACAATATGTAATTAAAACTTATTGTCCTGGTTGGATAAATCTATGTAAAACCCGCTTATACAGAGAGCAAGCTGTAATGGAGCAAAATAATTCTGATGTATTTCCTGTTTCCATGTTTCCATTGTTGTGCCATGTTTTTATTACTAACTTGTAAATATAGAATTAATCTATGGATTCTAAGTCGATTTTTATGTCTGATGATCAATGATATTTATTATAAAATGAAAAAGTGAAATACTTATCTGTGATAGCACTATATATTTGTTTACATGTGATTTTGCTTTGTCACCTTGTTTAATAGCTATGTGTCATTTAAAGAGTACTCACATCATGCGACCTGAATATACATCCTAACGTATCTCTAAACAGCAATGGTGATGGTACTTTTATATTGCATCAAATATTTGTTTAAGATCTACTTCTTTGTGTTCTATGAAAATGAAAGGATGATTAATCTGGTGTGCAGAAAGATACTATTACCGGTAGAAGTATATGAAAGATAACCAAAGAAAAGTATACATTACAGTATGTCAATTACAGTATTCTCATTGGATTTGGCAATTTCACACTATGATGTAGCAAAGTTGCACAAATTTTCACCACACCGACTTATTTGTGTGTTGGATATGATAGAGTTTAAAAGAGATGTTCTAGAAATAGGTATATCTTTATTATGCATGGGTTTTAAAATTCTATTAGAGATACATGCTTTATTTGCAATAGCTATATCAAAGATTCTATTTGTACATTTGAAACCATGACATTATTGTACTGTAGATTCTAATATATAAATGGGATATATCTGTGGCAGGCCATGGACGAACTGTAAAGAGAGGTAGATCAAAATATTCCTCTATAGTATTATCTTGACAATCAATTCAGTATAATGAGTAAATAAGAAAAGAGCTTGAAAGAAGATTAGAGGCTACAGAAACCCGGTTCTTGGGAAAGATTATGAATATATCATGGACAGAAAAGGTAACAAATGAAGATGTTTTCAGAAAAGCAAGAGTAAAACCATCAATCAGCAGCACAATAAGAAACAGGCAAATGCAATTTGTGGTCACACATGCAGAAAGGATAATCTAGAAAAAAACAATATTAACAGGGAAAATTGCTGTGAGTAGGGGAAGGCAACGCCTCACATACTTGCAAAGTCTAAACAAAGTCTGAAAATGAAATCGGCAATATCAGCTTTTTAAGAATAGCAGATTATAGACAGAAATGGAGGGCCATGACTGCCGATGTCTGTTAAACAGACCTGGCACTTGATGATGATGATGATAATGATTAAATTATATGGTTTTCACCCTCATCAAAGAGAAGGACATTCTTAAATACTCAGCAATTCAGCTGGCCCCTCAATCTTCAGACTGGCAACACCTATGATTATCTCATTGTTTGACATTAAACAATGCAACTGTCAAAACAGATAGCAAAGATTGATTTGTGTTTAGCATATGTTGCCAATTTGAATAATATTAGTCAGAGATCATGTCTCTTGTTTATAGCAAATTTCAAGATTTTCTCCACCTTATTCGTTCTTTGAAAGGTCACATTTCTTTTCTCAAGAATAATGTGTCTATAGAGGTTCTCTCTAATGACTACACTACCTAATCAATTATAAAGCACCCTATAAATTTCATTGCTTGAGTAATATCAAATGTAATAATTTTTTTGGTATAATATATACAATATAATGATAATAATATGTATAATGAAAATTGGTTTTATATACATGTAGCACCTTACCAGTTATGCTATAATTGATCAAAATGCTTTTTACACTGTATTACTACTCTAGTCATTGGATTCAGTCATGATTCTGCACTTAACACCGCACACTATTCACTCCACATAAGAGCATTTCATCACATCTTAATAGTGGAATGAAGAAATGTAGATGTTATGCTTTGCTCAAGGATATAAGTGTCCTGCCAGGGCTCGAACCCACAGCCCTTTCATTCCCAGTCAAGTGATAAAACCACTCTCCTATGAAACCTTTAAGCCTCATTCAGGTATAATGTGGCAAAACCTCAATGTTTTTAATTTGTTTATGATGACGTGTATGGTGTAATACGCTTCTCATTTCTGTATCTTCTAACTAAGTAAAGACGCGCCGGACCTTTGTTGCCTACAGTTGCCATTCATGTAGTATGTCCATTAACAGGTTTTGCAGTAGAGATAACGGACTTATGGGCTGTTGCAAGAAAGTTGCAGTCAATTGCACATCCCCTTAATCAAGCGTAAGTCTTGCAAATTTGCAATTGATAGCAACTTAACTTTCTTGCAATGCCCCATTAGTAAGAGAGAGAGAGGGGAGAATAAAAGCTAGATCTAGTTAACTTGATTTAATTGTTAAAACTTTAATCCTAACAAAATCCTAGCAAATTTAGGAGACTAGTGGGGCGTTGCAAGAAAGTTGAGTTGCAATCGATCACAATTTTCTTGCAATGCCCCATAAGTCATGCACTGCAATGATTGTCCATGGAGATTTGTGTTATTCGTAAATGTTATTCCCATGAATTACCCATGTTTTTATATTACAGATTGTTCTTTGAGGGGTAAGAAATTTCACTGTTATTTTGACGTAGTTCTTCCAAAATTTGTTTTCTGTTCTTCTACCTTGACATTATTAGTGTATTTTGTTTTTAAATTAGCAGCAAACCATTCTTCTTATCTCTATGTTCATGTTCACAAAGTCTGGTATGTTTATGATTTTTTTTAAACAAAATTAATTAATCAAAGATAGATGTGTCTTGAACAGAAATCCTACCCCCCCCCCCAAGTTGGGGTTAGCATGCAAGTAGTCATGTATAATGAGGCAGAACGTCTCTTGAGGGAGTTTGTCAAAGATGCACTTTTCTTTTGAGGCTACTCAGTACTGACTCACATTTTTATTTGTACCTGTCTAAATCAAACCTATTTATATGATCAATGTGAAATAAAGAAATTGAAAAATATTTCATTAACCTCTATTGTATCATTTATTCTTGTGAAACGGATATGATAGAAAGACTGGAACAGCTGAATATACAGAAAAGACAATATTCGAGGGTGGGTTTAAGAAATGTGGAAAGAGAATAAAATGTATGTGAGAAGGGATGAGAATCGATGAAAGAGAAGATACATGTACATGAGATATAGAATAAGAAACAAATGGAATAAGAAGGAAAGAGATATATGAGAAAAGGGATAAGAGAAACTGAAGATATAAAGAAAAGTGAAGTTAAAAAAAGAGGTATAAGGAACAATGAAAGAGGAGGAAATTGGGGAAATGATGGAAAAGAGGATATCAGAGAGGATAGAAACATGGAAAGAGAATAAGATGCATGAGAGACAATCAAAGAGAAGTTACATGTATGTGAGATATGGAATAAGAAACAGATATATATTCGAGAAGAGGCATATAGGAAAAACTGAAGATATAAAGAAAAGTGAAGACATACAGGAGAAGGAACGGCAAAAAAGAAGGAACTCGAGAAATAATGGAAAAGAAGAAATTTGAGAGTAGGAAAAAGGACAGGAGAAGGTACAAGTTTTGAGATGCCTTGTTTTAGTATGTTGACTTCTACCTTGTCTTTGATTAGAACAAGTAGCCCAAGCTAATTGTTTACTTCGTTGTTGATAAAAAGCACAAGTACACAAAATGGAGGAAACATGCTCTTCATCTCCGCTCTCCATTCCTCATGATGTACTTTTCTATACTTTTCACTCTCTATTTTTCTGTCTCCCATTCACCATTCTATTTATCTTACCTTTTTATTTTTATTTTCCATCTTTCAGATCATATCTTTTATATTTCATATCTATCACTCCATCTTATATATATATATATCTTTCATTTTCCCTCTCCATCTTTGAGTCTCTCACCCATAAATCGTTTTCTTTTTTTACCTTTAAGTCTCTCCCACTTATTCCTCTATCTCTCCTTCCCTATCTTCCTCTCTCTCTCTCCCCCCCTCTCTCTCTCTCTCTCTCTCTCTCTCTCTCTCTTGTCCCCCTTTCTCCCTTTCTCCCATCTTCCCCATCTCATAAAATCAATGTATCATTTATATGCAGATCTCCATATTACCCTCTTTATATCTTGTTATCGTTATCTGTTCATTAATAGAAATAGCCATCTATAGGTAAATGAAGACAAGACAGGCAGTTCATTTTGTGCTCAGTTAAAAATGCATGTAATAACTTATATGTAGCTCATTGTTTAAATCACTCAATGCATATTTCAATATTTGATACTACAAACAAAGTGTCAACTCATCATTGGTTTACATAGTACATACAAAACTAGCCATATATACAAATATATATATAACGCAGAACTCTATAACATGTTTGAATACAATTGAAGTAATATTTACAGTACTTGTCTTAATTATACATCGCAAATGCGAACTGGAATCGCATTCAACATCACTATAATAATCTTTCCAGCTATGAAACAAGCGTTCATTCAAGTGAAACATTCAATATTTGAAGAAAAGTGGTTTCCAAAAGAAACAAAGATGATCAGGAATCAGATTATCAAACTAGCTGCACTTTTCATCAACTATCTGGGGTCGATGACCCCTGATTGATATTCCTTCTCATACATGTACACAAGTACACTTCCATTATGAGACCATTTTTATCAAAACATGAAAGGCAATCTAACCGACTGTTGACTGCATCTAATCAAACAAGATATATGTGAATTAACAATCAACAACTTCAACATTACATGTATAACTAAATATTGCACATTCCACACATAGTAATTGCACATAACTGTCTAAAGTGGCATCAATTGTAATTCCACTTTGTAATAAATATCATGATTGATACATTTCATATCTACATGTAACTGCATAATTGATATCAAATACATTTGACAAATTAGTAATAACCCTGTGCTAGGACAATCTTTGTGCATCATTAATCTTGATACACATTAGCTCACTCATATTTGTCACCTATACATCAAGTATGTGTAAATGATGTGTATACAAAAATATGAAACATTTTTGATGTGAGCAGGTATATGTATTACCAAATAATGAGGTATGAGGTTGAAATAATGTGGTTGTTTTTGCTTTTTTTCTGAGCAAGAACATAGGGAAAAAACTGCAATACTGAGTAACAAATAACAAATTCTCGAATTAATGGTTAAAGTGTGACAAAGCAACTGAGCAGATATAAAACTTTGATTGTGGCAGATATTGAGATACGATAGTGGCAAATACTGATCTGAGCTAAGATTGTGGCATATATACTGGGCTAAGATTGGGGCAAATATTGAACTCAGATGGTGGCATATACAGAGCTAAGATTGTGGCATACATGTACATGTATATAATGTACTGAGCTAAATTTGTGGCATATACTGGTCTAAGATTGTTGCACACATACTGAGCTAACATAATGGAAATATGCAAACTAAATATCCGGGGTCAAGGTACACCCTGGACAGTGGCAGATCCAGGGGGGGGGGGGCACAAGGGGCATGTGCCCCCCAGCCAAAAAAAAAGAAGTTGAAATTAGCCCCAAATTGCCAAAAATGTACTGGCAAACAGGCATGTGAACATCAAAATACGTTTACTTTTTCTAAAAATCTCAAGAAGAGTAGGTAGGTATCGAAAGTAATGATATAAAATGGGTCAAAAAATCCCAGGGGTTATGTCTTATTGAGGCCTGTATTTGCATACACGATATTATGTAAAAAGGGTAGTTATTTTACCATTAAAGGGTATTAAAACATGATCAATCTGAAAAAAGGGTATCAAATTCACTGGTGATAATTAAGAAAATACATGGAAATGGTAGGAAATTTGATAGCCCCGGTCCGGAGCAGAGGATCCAATATGATTTTAAAATCCCCACTGAAATATACAATTAAAAAAAAGAAAGTCAAAAAATATTAGCAATCAGTCCTTGAATAGGGTGTAAAATACCATGCAAGATATAAAGTCCCTGTTAAGGGTCTAAAATTTGAGATATTGGACAGGTTCAGGGTGCTTTTCAGAAAGTGATTTTACATGGACCATACACAGTGCTCAACGTTGTACCCCCCCCCCCCACTTAACCTGGGGGGCCAGGATAAGTTAGAAAGGAGCTGGCTGTTTGCTAACTTTCTGCTCTCAGGCCGAAAACTCAAGGCAAGTAAAACATATATACAACAAGCAATACAAATTATGACTCATCAACTTAACACCAATTCTAAATAAAAAATGAAAACAGTTGGTTGCATTGATAGTACAAGTTAAAAAAATAGAGTGAATGTGTGAATTACAACATGTAGTAGGCCTAACATGATTATTGTATCAATGATAGATCTACAGCAGGGGCGTACGCAGGGGGGGGGGGGGGGGGGGTTTTTGGGGGTTCAAACCCCCCTTTGGTATTTTTATGTGTGTGTAAACCCCCCTAAAAAAAACTAAAATCCCCCCCTTTGTTTGTTTGTTTGTTTTTTGTTTTTTGTTTAATCAAAAAAAAAAAAAAAAAAAAAAAAAAAATTTATACCCACGGCTAACATAAAGTTACTTTACCCCCCCCCCCCCCAACGAAAAAAAATGTCAAATTTTCAAATTCAAAAATTTTCAAATTTTTTTTTTGACTACCAAAAAAAAAAAAAAAAGTGTCCGCTTACCCCCCACTGAGCGACTTTTCAAATATTCGGGAGCAAAATATTTTGGGCCAGATTTTAAACCCCCCCTTGAAAAAATCCTGCATACGCCTCTGATCTACAGTGTACATGAAGATTTTCCAATATGAGTTCAAATTCACACAGAAGTAAGTATACAGAATATACCATAACACAATTTTCAAATAAAACATTAAGTGGCTGAATTAACCAAGTGCTTAAAGGTAAAGACCAGTATTGGAAACGCCCCAATTTCAAAAAATGAAATGGAAGCTCTCATACCAATCATGTTAAAGAATGTGTTTTGACTAATACATGATAAAAAAAATTTGACGGGAAACCGCCTACTAATTCATATATTTGGTAAATTTGTTTCTCTCATGGTCTGTGAGAGATATAGGGTAGTCCCATATACATCTTTCTGTGTATAGTGCTTGTAACTTTACGAAGAATGGGCCAAATTTCTTATCATTTGGATGATTCCAGAACCTTGCAGATGCTAGATGCTAGATGATCAACCTTTTCTGATCGATTCCACAACGTTTCTTTCACAATGCAATCGCATGACCATAACTGGTCTTTACCTTTAAGCTACAAACGTTATGTGTTTGCATGTAGAGGTACATGTATAATATGTGAACTCATAATTAAAAAAAATGTGGAATGCAAAATCACAAAACTAAATCATTCTCTCTCCCTTCTCTTTGAAATTCCTTTGAATAATTCTCATTTCTCATTTGTAATGTGCATCAACATAATCAAAGATATGTGCATAGAATACACAATTTAAAGAATATACATGTGTAAAATCAACATCAATTTAAAATAACATTGAAAAAGATTTGTTGCACTGAGATAATTGACAGTGTATGTGAATTGTGTATCACAACTTTTCTGTCTATATCCAAGAACAATAAGGATCTGGAACCATCTACAATGAACCAAGCTCAGATCAGCAGTCAACACAACAAGTTCCCTACAAATGTACTTCAAGGAGGCTGCTCTACCCTGGCCCTTCATTAGAATGATCAATGCAACAGGCGCCTGTAGCTAGGCTCTCTCATATTTTACTGTGCCTTGTCTACACACCACTTTTGCACTTCATGGCGCTCCTTGCAACTACTCGCCTCATCTAACATCCCAGTATAGCTTTCTGAGTGAGCTGCTAAAGGGAGTATCAAGTACGACTGAAAAAAAAACTTGTTGATTTTTCAATTTCATCCATTCAAACCAAAGTATTCTAGGCACATCCATATGTTTTTTATAATGATATGGCAACAGTACATGTAGATGCTAAAATGCTTACAAGTTTAAAATGAAACAATGAGATTAATGTAACTGGTAAATACATGTAATGTACATACCCCCAAAATGACTGAATGAAATAGATATTTATAGCTACATGCAAATGCACAGGATGACTACATTTACACGATTCATTTGTACATGTAGGTGATGTGGAATCATAATCGTGTGGAATGCGAAAATCACAATAATAAATGATATCTCAATCTCTCCTGTCACTTCCGGATTCCTTCTATAATCCTCGTTTCACATTTACATAGCACCTCACCATGATCGAGTCAAAGATATGTGCATAGAATGTACATCGAATTTTCATTTGCAAACTTGTTTGATATTATAGAAGTGCATGACCCAAGCATATTATTTTGCCTTTGGCTTTTTTTGAGTTGTACCTGCACTACCAGATTTGACATCTCTTGTAAAGATCCATCTATCTGTTGACCTCTCGTCACCTCCACTTGATGATACCGATACAAGTTTGAAACCTAACTGAGTAATTTGCCTGAAAAGTTTTACACGATTCAAGGGCTGCTCTCTCGGAACAATCAATCCATTCTCTTCGGGACCGAAAATGTGGTCTAGCTGGTTGCGGACAAGCCGTAGATGGTTCCCAAATCCTTCCATAACTACTGGGATTTTCTGAAGGATTTCAGAACTGCCAAATATTATCCAGCGACCATTTGCACATTCAAACTCCACCTCCAGAAACTCTTGCTCCTTGACGAGGTCTTTGGCTCGTTTTTCTTCCTCCCTATCCACTGCAACTGTATTTCTGATCTGAGTCACAGCATCAATTAATTCCTTGATCTGGTAGAAATCAGCTTCCTGTGCAAGCATGTCGAGCTCTTTGAAGTCTTCGGGTAAGACGAGAATGGACCTCCGTAGGAAATTCAGAACATGCCGAAATAAGGGGCCATCCCCGTCAATTAGGTAATTCCCCTTATCATCCTGGTTGGAAGGGAGCCGATCACTGAACATTGACCCTAACATTGAATCCGGAAAACGAATCAACGTAGCTCGCGATGTTGTGTATATCGTACCTCCGACATTAAGGCTCACAAAATCAGTCATATTTCTTGAAAACAACACTCCGTTTTGCAATGGTTTCTTAAGTAATATTGCTAACAACATGCAGATCTTGTCTCGACCATCCTCGTTTGTTTATCAATATACCGTGAGAAAAAGATTTCGACGTGCGCGCCCTCATCTGTTTCAACATAGAAAACCTAACCGGTGCGAATTTGGTTCGATAATTGATATTTGACATTCAAAATGTGAAGTTGGTTTGATATTTGGTATTTGATATTTTAATAAGGAGAGGGTTATTTTCAGTTGTCCTCATTTTTCTTGCATTTATAGGCATTAGAGGAAGCCCAAATATCAAACCCATTACTACACTCCGCGGTTACACCAACGAGAAGACCGAACATCGGATAGTGTAGAGTCGGTTTGTCGGTGTGATGCATTGAAGCGCAGCATAACATTATCACAAATGCGGAAATAAATTACACACTGCGGACGTGCATGTTGCACTGTGTATGGCAATTAATTACTGAGAGTAAACCTACTTCATGTTTTTGGTGAAACAGTCATCATGGCTTGAACTAATGTGAACGGCAGCGACCGATATATGTTTGTGATGTGCAGTAGGTACTGTTGATTATTGTTTTGAGATTGAAATTTGCATGAAAGAGAAGAAAATGGACACTATTGGCGGTGGTTTCAGCCGGACTTCCCGGCCCCGCGGTACGGTGCAGGGACTGTTCACTCCCGAGGACGAGTACGGCGACCTGTACCCGGAAGTTAGCACGGTAAGAAAAGACTTGCCGCCGCTCCGAGAGATTCTTTCGAAACGTGGTGCTTCCTTATCTGAGTATCTCATAAACGACGTGGCTGCGGCCAAGGAGGAAGAGAAGGACCTTTTATGGTTCCATGGCCGAATAACAAGGGACACAGCCGTGCATGTTCTGAAGGGCAATGGATCAGGAGAGGGGACATTTTTGGTGCGAGAGAGCACGAGTCGGAGCGGAGATTATGTCGTTTCGATCATGCACAATGGGCTCCCGCAACACTTTCAGATCCAGTGCATGGGGGACTTTTACTATAAGATAGACAATGGGCCTCTCTTTCAGGGCCTGGACCAACTCATAAACTATTACCGGATGGGCTCCAATGGGCTCCCAACGAAACTCACCGTCTTCTGCAATGGAAGAATTCCGCCCCCGTGCTCGAGACGATTCGGTCGGACAACGCCACTCCATAGGTAAGTCAAAATCCAGAGGGTGCCAGGGTGGTGGTGGTGGTGGTGGGTGGGGGGGGGGGGGGTTAACAAACAAGATAAAGGAGAGAACGCTTATTTTAAATATTGCCAACAGGCCAGCTACATTTTGTATGAAACACCAGTTGTTTTCATACAAGAGATTAAAGGTCTACATGTAGATCTAGGCCCTACAGCCTTATAGTTTTGGGCCCACGTTCAACAAAAATTTGAACTTGACGCTGGGTTTGGGCACACCAGTTAAAACTACCGTAATGATTGAAATGTATATCGACAATTAGGAGCTCACAATTGCCCATATGAAATAATTGGGGGGAAATATATTAAACATTTAAAATACTTACTCTTGACTTTAACTCTCACAAATCACAATCTTAATAAACTTGATGGTCAATGGTCATGAGGAAGAACTTCTGATAATTCAAGTTATAATCCAAGGTCAAAATCATGTCCCAAAACAAACATATCTGCAATGATATTTGAGTGCTGCTTTCCCCCGAAATAGTATTGTTACTTTTCTAGTCAACTCATTCATTAAAAATAAAGCACAACAAAAAATCAGGACTAATTTCTTGTTAGTGATACAAACCATTTTTTTTCTAGGTTGTCGTGTAGCAAATTTTGCCTCGGACCAAGAAATGCACACAAAGAAGCAGCTCTTTGCCAGGATTGACAATAGATTTCCAACTGAGATTTTTAAAATGTTTTTTCCGCCATCATTGATTTAAATCGATTGTAAATTATGCTGCTAATTTTAGGTGTCAATATTTTATAGCTCTCACAAGTTATTAAACATGATAATCATGACTTTATTGTACAATGAGAAATATTTGTTCATGTACATGTACAGGTCTGTAGATGATGTAAATGTAATTGTACAGTGTACACCTTGACATTTTAACTGTATTAGTGTCATTGTGATGATCAAATTATATAATTTTTATCTTTTATGATTCGCAAAAAACTTTTATAGAGAACTATGTTTTTTTCCCTCAATGTTTACAGGTGTACAGTACATGTACCACATTTCTGTAATTTGTGGGGGTTTGTTGTTAACAATCTGTACCGGTTATGTGATGTTGACACTATTATACAAATAATACATGTTTGCTAGTGCATTAGTGAATATGCACTGCATGCAGGTTAAGTCACAATATCATAACGAACAAGGCTTGTTGAATTCATTGTCCGTCTCATTTTGACTTAACTAAGTGCAGTCTGCAGTGCATAGATCACTAATTTGAAGCTTCGATCTTATTGGCTACATTCTTGAACCCATTTTTATAATTGTGACACAGTTTCATGAACAATGTATTAAATGCAAATCGATATGGGCCCATGCCCCATTTCAATAAACTAACATGCAGATTTAAATGTACACCTGTAGGCCCACATTGTAAGTTTAGCAATTTCCCTAAACCGTCTTTAAAGCTAGGAACAGAGTCGCCCATTGGTGTTTGACTAATCTCAACTCTAAAAATATTATAACTTTCTTATTTTTAATTGACCTCGTTCACTGACCTGTTCCTCTCATTTTTCTGCTTCTATTAAGACCAACTTAATACCAGGGTGGACTTCCACTTTAAAAACTTGAACAGATGCATCATTGGGATGCCTGCAAAGTCAGACTGACAGAAAGTTGTTTCTTGGCAATGGGCCTTAGGATCTCAACTACATGTAGATTGTATGCGCCATATTATGAACGCTAAAGTATAAAAATGACATAATATAATTGATTTTCAAGCTCTGGCCTCTGGGTACAATTCAGGATAAGTTTGGTAGAATGATACATGTACATGTATGCTACCAATCCGAGATAAGATGCAATCAAATTTATGGATCTTAAAGGGAAGAAAGTCTGCTAGAGTATCTTCTTCTCCTTCTCCACCTCCCCTTCCTTCTTCCTTTTCTTCCTTTTCTTCCTTTTCTTCCTTTTCTTCCTCTTCTTCCTCTTCTTCCTCTTCTTCCTGCTCTTCTTCTTCTTTATCTACCTCCTCCTTCTCCTCCTCCTCCTCCTACCTCCTTCCTCCTTCCTCCTTCTCCTTCTCCTTCTCCTTCTCCTCCTCCTCCTCCTCCTCCTCCTCCTTCCTCCTTCCTCCTTCCTCCTTCCTCCTTCTCCTCCTTCTCCTTCTCCTTCTCCTTCTCCTCCCCCTCCTCCTCCTCCTCCTTCTTCTCCTTCTTCTCCTTCTTCTCCTTCTTCTCCTTCTTCTCCTTCTTCTTCTTCTTCTATTTTTGTAGTAACTGTGTAATGTTCTTCCTTGCATGCATACACGTACATGTACGTACATGTACGTGTGCCTGTACATTGTATACAGGTGTACATGTATCCTTCAGATCAAGAACAGACATCATAATAAAGGAGGGGGGGGGGGGGGGAGGAGGTTACCCCATACCTACATTGTATAATAGGTCCAGTGACTCCAGTGTATGTGTAATTCAGGGTTAAGTCCATTTATGTACATTTTGAATAAAAACATACACTGTGCACTTGATTTCACTGTAAAAGTCATATAATTTTTTCTTAAATCATAACGCGATCACAACAATTAACAAAAATACCTTGTTGTACACTGTACGTCCCATAAAAATCATGTTTGTATTACGTATGTATAATGTCATTGTCATGTTAACACGTTTCAGTATTAAAAGTGAGGCACAAGGCTATTGAAAGTTCAGATTGTTCAGAATCACAATATTAGCGAAATATCACATTATCCATCATAATCAGAGAACATCTGGATCTTGTATCACTCATACAGTTAGTGTAAAAATAGTTAAAATATTGCACAAGTTATGAAAAAAATATTGTATTGAGTACTTGAGGATCTAGAGATCTCCATCTTGTACTTTGTATCTTTTGAATTGTCTGATTGAGCCATAGAGGGGTTAACCGTAAGAAGAATATAATAATGATAATAATAACAATAATAATAAGAATAATGATAATATTAACAATAATAATGATTATAGTAATTATAATGTTAATTATCATCATAGTAATGATAATGATAATAATAATAATAATGATACAAAATTAATGATAGTGATAATGATAATTGTGATAAATGATAAAAATAATAATTATTATAATAATAGTAATAATAATGATAAGATTTCTCGAGATTTTTAAGGTGGAGAATCTGCTTGAAATAAATGCTCAAGGCGCACTTGGAAAACAAAACAAAAAAGAGATCACATAAAAGCATACCGTAGATCTGCATTGTACAAACGCATTATATCTGCAGACGAAGATTTAAAACAAATATCACACAGTCATCAAAGAACATTGGATTTAGAATGTACATGTACTGTACATGTACATGTACATGTACACTGTATAATACAGTCAAACCTGTCTATAGCAACCACCCAAGGGAAACACAAAAAGTGGCCTTTGTAGACAGGTGGTCTTTGTAGACAGGTTCCTTTAGTACATGATTCAATGAGGAACCATTATCAAGGGAAACAACAAATGTGGCCTTTGTAGACAGGTGGTCTTTGTAGACAGGTTCCTTTAGTACATGATTCAATGAGGAACTATTATCAAGGGAAACAACAAATGTGGCCTTTGTAGACAGGTGGTCTTTGTAGACAGGTGGTCACTAAAGCAGGTTTGACTGTATATGTTACGTTAGAGCTAGAAGGGAATAAACTGTGTTTACAAATCTAAATCAAATGGATGCCCTACTACTGGCTCTCTACAGACCAAAAACAACTGTAAAAATATCCCAAAGTCATCAAAAAAATGTTTAGATTCAGAATAGGGGATAGAGTCTTGGATCCTACATACACATATGTACATGTATATCATTCAAATCATTTTTTTTTTTAAAGAAGGGTGTTAACTCTTTATTTGAAAAAAAAAAGGGGGGGTGGGTGAGTAAATGCCTTTATGGCTCTCAGCAGAAAAAGGAACAGTAGAAATATAATCTCAAAGCCATCAAAAGAATGTTTAGAACTTTAGATTCAGGGTAGAGGATAGAGTCCTTGGTTCTATCATTCAAAATTCTGTTAACTTTTTATAAAAAGGGGGAAATATGAGTGAATATGTTTTTTTTTAAAATCTCAGCAGTCAAATAAAACTGTAAAAAATAGCCCAAAGTCATCATAAAAATGTTAGATTCAGAATATGGATAGAGTCATGGATTCTATATCATTCGTAAAGGAAGAAGAGTGCCCACAAAAAAAGGGGGGGGGGGGAGTGAGTTCATGCTTTTCTGGCTATAGGCAGACAAAAAAGAACTGTTAACTGTAAAGATATCCCAAAGTCATCAAAAGTATGTTAGATTCAGAATAGAGGATATTAGGGATGGAAAGGAGACATTATGATCATCTCTTATTCCTCATCTTTGCTAATAATAGTCCTCGCCAAATTTAGATCTATGCGAAAATATTTTTAGAACCACGTGCAATTGTAGAAATTACATATTTCCTTTTGGATGAACCCGAGTTTGGGGGAATTAACACCGTGTCCAAATGTCACTCATTAAAAGTGCTCTTTGGGAAGTGGAAAGTGCAGAGAGGATCAATTACAGGCTGACAGTTGTAATCACATTCTCCCCATTTCTCCATCATTTAGAAATGATGACCCTTGATCATCATTCGATGACAAAAGAAATCTGATCATGCTATAAATATCGTTCATGTTCAAGTTGTAAAAGTCGTTTTTTTGTTTGTCTCTTTCGTTTTTGTCAGAGACAATGGTTTCCATATAAAGATAAACAGGATCTCATTCTGCATACGTACCTACCGGTACATGTACAGTGTATTTCCGTATTATTCTAAATTTTGCCATCACACGCTATTGTCTTTTAATTCCGTATTTAAAGGATCAACCTTTTTTCCCACTACATTTGAAATCTTATTGCTGGCAAGTTGATGCCCCCAACTGATTATTATTTGAGTATACAGGCACACTGTATTTATCTTGGTATGAAAATAATTGTTATTGGACAGCAACATACGTGTACATTGTACATGTACCC